CGAAATACTTGACATGACAAATGTCACGTTGACAAGAGGGCGTTTATTTTTGGCGCGAAAGAACGGTCGTCGACTCTCTTACCTACTGACCTTTTGCTAGACAAAACAACGGGCCGTTAGCTGTCTCTTTCTGTCTTGCAGTTGTCGCGTTATGTAACACCCTTCTGATTCATTAGCCAAAATTGTATCTATATTTATAATGCATTTTATGAAGTGTGAATCGTCGAGGGTCGTAAGACGTGTTCCATTTTCGCGCCTTTTATTAATAGACAACAGAATATAAATGTATTTTTTTTTTTATTTATAGTAGGTATACTAAATTTTTTCTTGGCACTTCGTATGCGTGGATTTTTTTTTTATACAACTTAGAATGGCAAACAAGCTGACGGCCCACCTGATGGAAAGTGGTAACCGTCGCCTATAGACATGAGCAGTACCATGAACATAACAGAGTATATTGTTTCGCTCATGATGCGTTGCCATTCCTGAGGACTCAGGTGTTATTCCTCTGTACCCAGTAAAATCATGCCATATCCCACCCTTCAAACCGAAACACAGCCATGCAAACACAACTGCTTCACAGTTGAAACACGAATGGGACAGAGGTACCCAAGTAATCGACTTTTGTACAGTCTCCCTCTGAAGAAAAAAAAAATCAAATAGACCACTTTAAGACCCTTAAAAAACATTCGCTTTTATAATACTTAGTACCTTATTTTAATAGTTGATAATGGAATGGTAACCCCGCCTGCGCTATTGGTATACGCTGGCGGGGCACTAGTGAGGGATGATAGGTGAGAATGAAAAGGCAGGTCAGTTAGCCCATGGCGATGAACACACCTGGAACTCAGTACGATGGTTTCCAGGGGGGACCATGTGGGGGTCGACCTGACGGGGTATATTGCTAGCAATGAGACTGGTGATCCGCATTACTAGCAATCCCTCCCCCCCCCCCCCGGTATTTTTAAATCAGTTGCATAGACATTTTATCGGCACCGATTCCGAATAGTTTAGTTTTTAAATCGAAATAATCGGTTTAATCATGATTGAGGCAGTTTTTTTGTAGAACACAATTTCAATGTGTTTTTCAACCAACTACCTACGTATCTATATAATACGTATATATATAAGCGAATCTAATATCCTTTATTTGAGGGGAAAAGGATTGTTAGTAATGGAGTACTCCACGCAGTTCTCCCTGGAAACTATCATGGTTAATTCCTGATGAATTCATCATGATGCGCTAACTGGCCTGTTTTCATTCTCATCTATCACCCTTCACCGGTGCTCTGCCGGCGTATCCTGTTAGCGCAGGCGGGGTACCATACCGTTTTCACCCATAAAAAAGAGTTATAAAGGAATTACTTATAACTATTTATCATGCAAAATTGTATGAAAATGTTGACCCGTTTTTCTCGAAGCTTTTGTATGGAGACACTCTATTTATATAAGATTCATATTCAATCTATATTAGCTGCACCAAAAATTAGAAATTTTTGAATATCTCTATAAAGTATTGATGCCCATTCATTCCTCTCTTTCCGTAGGAAAAGTAGAAAGCTTTATTTGAGAAATCAGTTCAGGGTACAATAAAGCTGATATATTGAACCTGATTTAAGATGCAAGATTATTTATTTGTAAAACATGCATATAAAAATATACATGCAGATGTTTTTTTTTTTGATGGGTGAAAATGTAATGGTAACCCCGCCTGTGCAAACGGGATACGCTGGGGGAGCACCAGTGAAGGGTGATAGATGAGAATGAAAACAGGCCAGTTAGCCCATCATGATGAATTCATTAGGAATTAACCATGATAGTTTCCAGGGGGAACGCGAGTAGGTCGCCCTGGTTGGGTATATTGCTAGCAATGGGATTCTCAGTCTCCATTACTAACAATCCCTTTCCCCCCACATGCGGATGTTAATAATACAATCTCGTTCGACATGTTTAGCATGTAAGGCATACAATGTAGAAGAAGGTAACAGGTTCATTTAAATCTAAGCACTTACAGCAAAACAACGTTTTTCAATAAAAAAAAAAAAAAGAATTAAATACGGTTAGTTAGGACATTCCAAGGCCCACGTTGTGGTCACATTTATGTCGGCACGCAAATTTGCGTGCCAAAGGTTCGCGCGCTCGCATTTTATATTTCCAAATAATAAACTTTATGTAAGTATTTGTAGGCGTTATGGAATTTATTTTGACAGATTCGTACGACAAATATCATAGACTCGCTTTCGTCCGCGATTTCACTCGCGAAATGTGGCTAAATCTACATTTTCACGTGTCTAATTTCTAAACTCTAGCCGTGTATTTCCCGGCAAAAAATAGGCCATCTCTTTCTTTCCCGTGGGTGTCTTAAGAGGCGATTAAAGGAGCTTATGGTGGAGGAACGGGCAGCAGCGGACAATTAATGGCTAATACAACAACTTTTAAACTGACGAAATTCCATACAAACTTTCAAACCCCGTTTTACGCCCTTAGGGATTAAATTTCCAAAGTTTCTTATTGTTTACCTACACTATATAAAGAATCTATCTGCATAATTTCAAAATTTTAGATTCAGCGGTTTTGGCTGTGCGTTGATATATGGGTCAGTCAGTCAGTCAGTCACTCAACATGTTCCTTATATATATATATATATATATATATTGCTAGTGGGTTACATTTTTTTTATCAGTTCCGGGAGGAAGGGGTTGTTAGTAATGAAGACTGAGAATCCCATTGCTAGCAATATACCCAACCAGGTCGACCTTCTCGCGGTTCCCCCTGGAAACTATCATGGTTAATTCCTGATGAATTCATCATGATGGGCTAACTGGTCCTGTTTTCATTCTCATCTATCACCCTTCACTGGTGCTCCGCCAGCGTATACCGTTAGCGCAGGCGGGGTTACCATACCATTTTCACCCATTAAAGAAAAAAACATTTTTTTATCTAGTGATATTTTTAATGCCACATAGAATGGCATATAAGCAAAAGATCAAGTTGATGGTAAGTGGTGTTACGCTTTGAACTCTCTGCCAAATTTCATTAAAACGTTTAAAATATCTAACTAGAAATATATAAAACCACTTTCACTTTTATAATATTAATTATAGTTTACATAATAATAATTTACAGATACTATTTGTGTATATACAGATTACAAATAGTATCTGCGCCAAAAGGTGCCAAATATCGAGTGCATAGATTAATTACTTGACATTTTCCTTATAATATTTCTCGCTTTCTACGACGTAGTGGTGTACCGTAGAAAGAGAATGCCCGGTTCACAGATAATATATTATACTAGCACCTGGGCATTATCCTTAATCTGTTTTGTGTTTACTATTTTATTATGCAATATTTACGATTTAAAGGCCTGTCCAAAATTTCTAGATTTTTTTTTATTTATTTATTTAATAAATTTAATTATATCTAGAAGTGTAAAGTGGATTTAACATCATTTGGCGTTATCTACCAGTATCTATGATATTATTTCCCGACAAAAAATGTGTTTCGGTTTGAAGGATGGGATATGGCAGCGAATTTACAGGGTACAGAGGAATCAGGGATGGCAACGTATGGGGGTATCATGGCCGAAACGGTGTACTCTGTTAGTGATAGTGATAGTGCTGCTCATGTCTATAGGCAACGGTTACTACTTTCCATCAGATAAGCCGTCAGTTTGTTTGCGATTCTAAGTTGCATAAAAATAAAACTCCTTTTGAAAGTACCTTTAAAAAGAAGTTACTACCTTAAAAATATGCAAACAAGCACACCGCTGCTATCAGCGGTTTCTTTATAGAAAACATTCTAACTTATTTCTGTTGCCAAGTCTCAGCTTAACTGCATGTTGTTTTCCTGTTTCAATAGTGAAACATTGCAGTAAATTCACTGGGTATATAGGTATCATGGCTTACATTTAACATATTTATTGTTATTATTATTATCCTCAGGCTGATAAACCTATAACACTGCGACATTTTTATGCTCGCCATTTTTTTTTTAAAGTTCACTGCTGATTCTTGACAGTGATAGCAATTTTAATTAATCATTACAATAGACATGAGCTGTATAGGCAGTGCTCTTTGCCTTTTCCGTCGGCTTAAACCATAGACTTAGTATAACGTGCTACGTATTAAACAAAACTAAAAAAAAAAAATATTTTTAAGATGTTCTTAGCAGCTATATTTTTAATCTCCTCACGGTATAATATAAAGTGTATTTTTCAAAGGAAATATGTCGTTTTTGTATGACTGGGTTACAGCCACAAATTAAGTGCTGTGGTTTTTCTTCTTTAACATAATACCTAAGTCTTTTTTTGGGAATGGGCATTAAATATTATAATAATATTTTGGATGTACCTTGTAATAAATTTGAAACTGTTATTAAAAAAAAATTAAACAAAGCCTATTGCACACTAAACGATTACTTGAATGACAAATGTGTATTGTGTTAGTCGATCATGCGCGGGCTTTTAACGACCATGTAATTTTAGACATAGCCGTCACTTATAAATATAAATATACGTGTGCAATGTGTGTGTGTGTGTGTGTGTGTGTGTGTACGTGCGTGCGTGCGTGCGTTCGTGCGTGGGTGTTGAGTGTGGGTGTGTGTATGTGTGTGTATGTGTATTATAATATATGTATTTGTTAATAGACATTTAAAAGAGTAACAGTTGAGTTTCTTGCGGGCTCTTCTCAAGATGAGAATGAAAACAGGCCAGTTAGCCCATCATGATGAGTTCAACAGGAATTAATCATGATAGTTTCCAGGGGGAACCGCAAGGAGGTCGACCTGGTTGGGTATATTGCTAGCAATGGGATTCTCAGTCTCCATTACTAACAATCCCTCTCCCCCCTTATATCTCTGTTTGTCCAACAGTAAATGACGACCAATGACTTGTAGAGAACACCGTCCAGTCTTAAGTCCGCCATATGTACATAGAGTCGCATTGTGCATTAAAATTTAAAAAAAATTAAATAATTAAACGAATTTTTTATTTGTTCCAGGAATGTCCAGAAGGAGTCGTCCAAGAGGAATCCTTTAAAGATATATACGCTAAGTTCTTTCCACACGGCAGTAAGTGTTATTCCATATGTTTACTAACCTTTGCCCGCGTCTTCTATCGCGTACACTATCTCTTTTATTCATAAAACCTTTTACAAAACTTTGTACAAAATTTATTTGCTTGGGCACCTCTGTTCGATTCGTGTTTCTATCGTGAAGCAGTTGTGTTTGCATGGCTGTGTTTCGGTTTGAAGGGTGGGATATGGCGTGAATTTATAGGGTACAGAGGAATAACACCCGAGTCCTCAGGAATGGCAACGCATGGGGGGTATCATGGGCGAAACAGTATACTCTGTTATGTCCATGGTACTGCTCATGTCTATAGGCGACGGTTGCCACTTTCCATCAGGTGGGCAGTCAGTTTGTTTGCCATTCTAAGTTGCATAAAAAAGAAACTAAAACGTACAAACCTACTTTATTTATTACACTATTTTGTCACTTCCTTTCAAATTGGGAATTTAGTGTAAAAGAAAGAGACAAAACAGTTTAATAGCTAAAATGAGTTTGAAAGATTTGATGTATTTATGAATAAGGGAGTAAGTCTGTTATAATATAATTTAATAAATAATAAAAAATATTACTTTGCTATGTGGTCCCGGCATAGAATAGGCCACCCGTTCCTTTCCCGTGGGTGTCGTAAGAGGTGATTAAGGGAGAGCGACAGATAAACAATAGCGTCCCTCTTAAAACATCTCCAAAGTTTAACTGCGGTTGCCAATCCGCCTGCTAAGCGTGGCAGTTATTGGTAAAACCCCCCAAGGGGGTTATGTTCAACAGTGGACAGTTAACACTAAACCTACCGACATTTCATATATACCTAATTCTACCTTGACTGAGAATCCCATTGCTAGCAATATACCCAACCAGGTCGACCTCCTCGCGGTTCCCCCTGGAAACCATCTTGATTTATTATTGAATTCGTTACGATGGGCTAACTGACCTGCTTCATCCTCACCTATCATGCCTCACTGATGCCCCGCTGATGTATACCGATAGCGCGGGTGGGGTTACCATTCCATTATCATCCATTTAAAAAAAGGATGCAGGCTAATTTCAAACTACTGCCTATAATTATGATGTCAACCACAACTGTTAAATAACTCATACGAGGTGAAACTTATTGTCTCTGGCGCGCGCCCAATTGTTTAGTGATATCAACTTGTGCCAATAGGGTGTCACATTTTTGCATTCAATTTACATTTGGCGCCATGTCGAGCCGAATATTTACAATATTTTATTTTCTCACTTCCCTTTTATGGAATATGGTACAGGTTTTTTTTTTATAACTTATAATGGCAAACAAGCTGACGGCCTGCCTGATGGAAAGTAACCGTCGCCTATAGACATGAGCAGTACTGTGGACATAACAGAGTATACTGTTTCGCCCATGATACCCCCTATGCCTTGCCATTCCTGAGGACTCAGGTGTTATTCCTCTGCACCCAGTAAATTCACGCCATATTCCACAATGCCTAGTTGTGGCCAAGGCTTGTATAGTACTTTTCTCAAACAATGCGCGGAAATCAAAAACACAATTTTATTTTTTAAGTTCAATAACGAACAATAATAATTTTTCACGCGCCATAATGTTCCTTTGTTTTTTTTTCAATAAACAGTTTTCCATTTGCAAGCCAGTTCGAAATTTAAATAAAACTTTTTATTAGTTACCTCCTTGGTAGCCATGGACCTATATGAGTTTACATAGTAATTTATCTGGTCGCAAAACACGATAGATATGGATTTTCATACAACTTTTGCCGGCCGCTGCCCGCATGTATCTGGACAGTACGGCAATTTTGATTTATCTCTAAGTTTGTCAAAATAATGCTCACATTTCCAAGCATGTTTGAGAAAAATAAATAACTTTGTTTACAGATTCGGCTCTCTACGCGCATTACGTGTTTAAAGCTTTCGACGTGAATTGCAGTGGGGCGATCAGCTTTAGAGTGAGTATACATTTATTTATATACTAGCTGTTGCCCGCGACTTCGTCCGCGATTCCGTTGTTTTCACGGTTCAGTGGGTTTGATGTAACAGACACATTTCCCTTCACGGCTCTGCTCTTATTAATCGTAGCGTGATGGAAAGTATACTATAACCTGCCCAGGAGTATGAAGAATAATTGTACTAAGTTGCGTTAAAATCCGTCGAGTAGTTTTTGTTTCTATAACGAACATACAAGACAGACAGACATAAATTTTACTGATTCCATTTTTGGCATCAGTATCGATCACTAATCACCGCCTGATAGTTATTTTGAAAATATATTTCGTGTACAGAATTGACCTCTCCACAGATTTATATACATATTTATATATGTATATATTTAAAAAATGAAATTTCACGGTGTCTTACCATGAAATATTATTTTTATTTTAAATAATACGACCATATTTGTAAGTCCAATAACGACTCGGTCCCAATGTTACGCGCTACATTATCTCAGAGAGCAATGTAAGGTACGAAATGAGGAATATCAATGAATTACGAGCACTGTATAAGGATGGGAGTATCAAAACAAAGCCATTCGAGTGAAAGATATTATGACAACAAAATTGGTATCTTTGCATATAAGTATTCCTTTTTTGAACATGTCACGTTCACTATTTGAATCGGGGGAACGGATTGTCAGTAATATAGTTTAATTGTTATGCCACAATAGCTTACTTTATTTTTTAAGCTGAAATATTGAGTATCCGAAACGCGCCAAAGATTTTTTTTTTCATTTATTGTGACTTTGGCGAAAGCCATCAGCCAAGTGCCAAAGATAGTGAGTTAAATGTAACTTTTTTTTTAACAAAAGTTTTACATTGACACATTCTTTTTTCAAAACGCGCGCCTTTTTCTGTGTTGCAATTAATTCGATTATTTAATTGTCAAATTAAAGAAAAAAAAATTGATTCGTTTATAAATTCTTAGATTCCTTTATTTCTCATAATAACATCAAACTATAACTATCACCGTGTGGTCCCAGCATAGAATAGGTCATGCCTTCCTTTTCCGTGGATGTCGTAAGAGGCGACTAAGAGAGAGCCTTTTTTTTTAATGGATGATATGGAATGATGACTCCGCCTGCGCTATCAGTATATGTTGGCATCAATAAGGGATGATTGGTGATGATGAAAAGGCAGGTCAGTTAGCCCATCGTGACGAATTCAACTATAAATTAGTTAGATGGTTTCCAGGGGGAACCGCGTGGAGGTTGACCTGGTACGGTATATCGATAGCAATAGAGACTAACCTCTCCATTACTAATACTCCCTTCCCCCACTAAGGGAGAGCCAGGAATGGGCAGCAGCATCTTTCTTAAAATACGTCCAAAGCCTAACAGCGATTGTCAATGAGGTGGTTTGCCTAGCGTGGTAATTACTGACAAAACCTCAATGGCCTCAGCCTTAATGGTCGCGTACGGCGCGGTTTCAGAGATGTTTTCTCCCACGAACACTCAGGTTGTGGAATGAACTCCCTGCCGAGGTTTTCCCAAGAGACTGCAGCATGGGGTTCTTCAAAAGGGGGCTAACGAGGTTTCTTCAGGGCCGGCAACGCACGCGTAATACCTCTGGTATTGCAGGTGTTCATAGGCTACGGTAACCGCTTACCATCAGTGGTATAAAAAAAAACCTCAAGGGGGAGGCATATGTTCAGCAGTGGATAGTTTGGATGATATGGTGATGATGATGATGATAACTGTCACTTATACTAAATTCCTTACCGTTACTTTTTAATATCCCGTCTCGTTTCCTGTTTGTTGGTGGCATAATGGACAACATTAGCCATAAAAAAAAACTTTTAATTTGATTCGAATTAGGAACTATTTTTAAAGTTTTTTTTTTTCATGTAATTGACTAAGTACTCAAATTATACATATATTAATACATTATAGTACATTATTTTAAACAAAATAAATAGCGATTTTTATAATTCTAATAATTAATACATATATATTTTATATTAAGTCTATTCTCAGATCTGGAAAATTATGCAAAATTTTAAAACGTTTTCCGCGTCTTACTAACTTAAACTTCTTTGTTTTTTTTTTAAAGATTGTCAAGTGTCCAACCAAAGACTAAGTTATAACAATTTCCTGTGTTGCAAACTTTTTTGGACGCGTACCAAAAAACGTTTCGCTATTCTGTGGTCGAGTTAAACTTGCTAATATTTTATTTATTGCTAAAGTTTTGCTTGTAGATAAAACATGGTCTAGGGATAATGTCCGTTGTTATTGAGACGTCGCTTACTCACTTCACATCGTAATAGGCAAATTAACCAATCAAAAAGTTTTATTCATGTCGAATATTTATAGCTCAAGCGGGATTACTATCTCAATTTTTAACCATAAATAAACTTTTTTTTATTCTTTAAATATTTAATCAAATAAATAACTAAAGAATACATTATTTATTTTAATAAATATTTTTTTTTATACAACTTAGAATGACAAACAAGCTGACGGTCCACTTGATGGAAAGTGGTAACCGATGCCTATAGACATGAGCAGTACCATGCACATAACAGAGTATACTGTTTCGCCCATGATACCCCCCATGCGTTGCCATTCCTGAAGACTCAGGTGTTATTCCTCTGTACCCAGTAAATTCACGCCATATCCCACCCTTCAAATCGAAACACAGTCATGGAAACACAACTGCTTCACGGTTGAAACACGAATGGGACAGAGTTACCCAAGCAATCGACTTTTGTACAAAGTCTCCCTCTGGTGATTTAAGATTGCGTCCCACAAAAAAAACTGACTTTTATTTTTTTTATACCACAAACTTGGCAAGCAATTACAGCAATGTACAGCCCGTGTGATGGTAAACGGTCACTGTAGCCTATGGACGACTGCAACACTAGGGGTGTCACGTGCGCGTCGCCGACCCTGAAGGAACCTTAATATAACCTTTTTGAAGAATCCCATACTGTAGTCTCTAAGGAAAACCTCAGCAGGGAACTCATTGCACAGCCTGAACGTTCGCAAGAGAAAATTTAAATCGATTTTAAACATATTTTATCACATCTGTGTGAGCATGTCCAATGCTGAGCAAGTGTCAGGCCTTGGTAAGGTTTAAAGAGGTACGCTGCTGCCCGTCGTTCAACCATTAAATTCCTTCTTACGACATTCATAGGAAAAGAAGAGGTGACCTATTCTACGCTGGGACTACACGACTAATAGAAATAATTATTTGAATCCATTAAAAATTGGCGATATACTTAAGTATAATATAACTTCGTAAAAATTATAAACTAATTGTAAATTTGCAGGTACTCTCTTAATTTATGGTCAAGTCACTGCTTTTGAAAAGCGCTTAAAAATATTACGGTAACCACTTACCATCAGGTGGGCCGTATGCTTGTTTGCCACCTCAGTGGTATAAGAAAAAAAAATATTAGATAAAGGATTGTAAATTGTAACCTCGCCCGCGCTATCGGTTTACACCGGCGGGGCACCAGTGAAGGATGATAGGTGAGGATGAAAGCAAGTCAGTTGGCATATAGTAACGAATTCAAAATTAACCACGATAGTCTCCAGGAGAACCGCGTGGAGGTCGACCTGATAAGTATATTGCTAATAAAGGGACAGTTTTTTTTTAATGAACGAAATAGAATGGTAACCCCGCCTGTGCTATCGGTAAACACTAGCGGGGCACCAGTGAGAGATGATAGGTGAGGATGAAGGTAGGTCAGTTGGCCCATCGTGAGGAATTTAACAATGAATCAATCACGATGGTCTCCTGGATGAACCGCGTGGAGGTCGACCTTATAGGGTATGTTATATTGTAAGCAATGGGATTGCTAATCTCCATTACTAACAATTCCTTCTCCCCCACAAGGGCGAAGTTAAACCCATTATTACCAGTCCCTTTCCTCCCAAAGAATTACCTTGGGTATTAACTTGATCTGCTCGTAATTCAGTAGCAAGCTTTACTATTTCATGACTGGCAGTCACAGTTTGCAAGTTGCAAGCCAACTTCAGCCGAGAGGAAGCCATTGCGTCCGACATTTTAATTAGTTGGGCAAACTTTGTCAATTCGTTAGTTCGCTTGGATGGCGTGGTAGCATTCCTATATCTATCTATATTTGCAGATTTATATAAACTAGTGATGCGCGACTTTACTAATTCGACTATTAATTATTCGACTGAGCAAATTATGATCGAATTTTTAATAATCGAATGATTTTTAAATCATTCGATTATTAAAAACTACTAAATTTATTTAACGACAAAGAGTATATAACGAAGAGATAAGAGAAGGCACTTTATACGAGCCACCTAAAACGACTTGGTCAGGAATATTTGACCAATCTATAGAAAAAAACTTTTACCCGTTACGTTGGCCAGCCTGATATTCAAAATGGAATGTGGTTATAAATAAATTATAGTTTGATAGTAGAAACGCGAATCATGTGATAAAAGTAATATATAAATTTTATGTCAAATTGCATGTTCCAATGAACATTTTTTTAGCAAAAATAAAACAAAACATAACATTTTTAAATATATTTACTTCACATATATTAAATATATACTAATTTCATACTATAGTACTCGTTGATGTACGAGTCGACACGAACATAGCCGAGTCGACCCGATCGTTGAAATATTTTTTTTTAGATAATAGGCAAGAGTGTTGCCATTTTAAATTTAATGAATATTAAAAATTTTCGATACAAATAATGAAATGAAGTAAAATTTTAGTAAATATGTATTTATACTAATTGCGATAGTCATTATGAAGGTAAATAATTAGGAAATTATTATAAATAATAATTATAAATTTATTTATTAGAATATGGTACAACGAGATGACAGTAATAAATAAATTCCGATCATATTCTGCTGTTTCCAGCGGACAAATATTTTATTAAATGTATTTGCTGGCGTTTTCTGTTTCTTTTTTCGTCGTCGTCATCGCTGACAGTGATTTAGTAGCAGGTAGTGGATTTAGTAATATCAGATACAAGAAAAAGACTTTGTTGTAATTAGTTACTAATTATTTGAATCGAATAATTAGTAATTGCTAATTAGTTATCACGTCGAATCACCGTGTGTGCCCCGGCGTAGAATGAGTCACCCCTTCCTTTCCCGTGGGTGTCGTAAGAGGCGACTAAGGAGGGCGAGGGATTAGGCAGCAGCGTCCTTCTTAAAACATCTCTAAAAGCCTAACTGCGGTTGCCAATCCGCTCGCATGAATTCATCGTGACAGGCTAACTGGTCCGATCTAATCCCCATCTATCATCCTCTATTAGTACCCTACTAGTGTGTTCCAATAGTGCAGAGGAATAACACCTGAGTCCTCAGGAATGGCAACACATGAGGGGTATCATGGGCGAAACAGTATACTCTGTTGTGTTCATGGTACTGCTCATGTCTATAGGCGACGGTTACTACTTTCCATCAGGTGGGCCGTCAGCTTGTTTGCCATTCTAAGTTGTATAAAAAAAAACATTCATCAGGTCACCACCATGTTCATAAAGATAATTTTTCATAATTTTTTTCCAGGAGCTTTTAGTAACCCTGTCGACCCTCCTCCGAGGGTCGGTTTACGAGAGACTCCGCTGGGCCTTCCGGCTCTATGATGTTGACGGGGACGGAGCGATCACCAGACAGGAACTGGCCGAGGTTGTGGTAGCGGTACACGAGCTGTTGGGACGACGGGCTCCACCAGGGTCCCCTGCTGCAAGATTGGACGATGCGAAGGCTAATGAACAGGTTAGATACAGGCATAGAGGAATTCTTTTAAATAGATTAAAATGGGATTCTACGCTACCACCAGAGGCAGACTTTGTACAAAAGTCGTTTGCTTGAGCACCTCTGTCCCATTCGTGTTTCAACCGTGAAGCAGTTGTGTTTGCATGGCTATGTTTCGGTTTGAAGGGTGCGATATGGCGTGAATTTACAGGGTACAGAGGAATAACACCTGAGTCCTTAAGAATGGCAACGCATGGGGGGTATCATGGGCGAAACAGCATACTTTGTTATGTTCATGGTACTGCTCACTTTCCATCAGGTGGGCCGCCAGCTTGTTCGACATTCTAAGTTGCATAAAAAAGGACGTCTTCTGTGCAGTCTCTCTCTAGTGAAAGCTCTCGTTAGCATGACTATTCATTGTTGATCTTGATTACACAGGTGGACCGCGTGTTCAGGAAGCTGGACCTAAACCAGGACGGCGTGATCACCATCGAGGAGTTCCTGGAGTCGTGTCTGAAAGATGACGTCATCACTCGCTCGCTGCAAATGTTCGACACGGCGCTATGACGTCAGACTGACACAGCGGAGGCGCGCACTGCTCCCAGGTGTGGGTTAAAACTTTAATAAGATCACAGAATGGCTGCCTTACTTTTTTTTATATAAATGTACGACACGACCACATAAATTCTGTGTAAACGAGGGTTTTTTTTTAATTTTTTTACAATGGTAACCCCACCCGCGCTAACGGTATACGCTGGCGGGGCACCAGTGTGGGATGATAGATGAGAATGAAGCAGGTCTGTTAGTCCATCGTGATGAATACACCTGGAATTCAGCACGATGTTTTTCAGGGGGGGACCACGGGGAGGTCGATCTGACAGAGTATATTGCTAGCAATTGGACTGATACTGATACTGATCGATTGCTATGGTGACTGCAACCGATTCTTTTGTTTGTATGAAAAAATACTATTCAAATATGCCGGCAGCACATCTGCAATGCCGTAGGTGTTGTGGGTGACCATGGGCGGCGGTAGTCACTTTCTATCAGGTGAGCCGCATGATGGTTTGCCCCCTGTGTTGTAAAAAAATATATTTCTTTCTTTTTTCTTTTTAACCTCTGTTACTTGCTGATAATGTAACTTTTTATAAATAAAATACTTATAAAATCAGTTAAGCATTTTTAAGTGCATTCATAATAAAAAAAAACCTTTTTCTTTTCCTAATAAACACAACGAACACCCTGACCAACATGACTTTTCTCTAGGAGCGTAGTTAAGCGCGCGGGCCCGCCATATCGTATTTCCCGCCATTACTGCCACTGCTCCCGGGCCCAGTCGGGGTTCCTCCACGGCATGGCGGCCGCGTGGCGCCTCCGCGCGCAGGAGTACGCGCGCTACCTCGCCGCCTTCGAGAACTTCTACGTCGGCATCCTCCGCCCGAAGATCAAGAGCGTACTGTTTTTCCATTTCTAGACGTTGTTCCCGTTCGCGTGTTTAGAGTTAGCCGACCCATAATGTTACTGGACACGGTTTTAATTTGGCTGTTTGTATTGTCTACCTTACGCATTTTGTCTGTACCTGATAATAAAAAATAAAAAAAATAGATACCATTATAGATGTAGATTCCGAGATATAGTTTGAGCATGATTTAAATACTACGTGACTTGCGCAATAACAGTTTCACAATAAGATCTACTGCGCAAACAACTATAGATAGTTTGTTTAAGTTTATTTCCTCGACCTACAATGATATAGGAACCTTAGATTATAAATTGAATAACAATAACTTTAAAAATGGAATATTTTTTTTGAAAATAGAACCCTAATATAATATGAAATATCAAGTTCAACTTTATTTTTTCAATATAGTAAAAAAAAAAAAAATCTTTATAGTACATACCTAAGTATGTATAACTATCAAAACTATGATGAGTTCTAAAATCAAATATATTTTTTTTTAAATAGACTTTTTAACACACGATATTTCATTCATTTAGATAAATATTAAAAATATTATTTTAAAATAACAATTATAAATGCAATATTTCAAATCTAGTGACACTCAAGGAATTTAAAGTCTTTTAACTGGATTAATTTTTCGTTTCCATAGACTAGATAGTAAAATAGACAATTTCAATCATGTTAAAAAAAGTGAAATAGTTGTTGAATAGAAATAAAGTTATGCAATGTTAATGTTAGCGAATCCAATTTTAACTGCCAATGTTTTGTTGATTAAATATAGCTGTTTGCGTTATTGATTTAGTATCTTTTTTTTTTTTTTTTATTAAAAAAAGCTTTCTCTAGGAACGCGAATCACGTACGGAATGTAGCCAATAGGCTGTTTTAATATGTAGCATTTTAAACATTTTCTAGTATAGTACGGTTGAGCGCAAAAGTTTTTTATTTTTTTTAATGATCTATGTGTTTTTTTTTTCTTAATATTCTAAATTTAAAATGTATTTACTCTGTGGAGATATTCAATATAAACCATACATATATCGACCAGCATAAAATAAATTACTTAAATAACTCTTAATTTTTAAATTAGAGACATTTTTTAATTATAAATTGATTGATTAATTATGTAGATATTGAACTCATAGTTTTCTCATACTTTTTTAATAACTTACGTAATACAGTTTAAAATACGAAAGCGTCTATTGTGCAAATTTTATTCTATATATTTTTTCCTTGTCGTTTTCTTTCTAAATAAAAAAAACGAATAGATACATTTATTTTCAAATCATAGAAATAAATTGAATAAATTTAATTTACTTTAAAAGTTCACATACTTATTTTTTTTTTATATGAAATTAGATTATTTTTGGATAAATTTCAATTGACTAATAGAGTTAAAAATCAGAACCAATAATAATAATTAAGAATAAGTATATAGCCGAAAATTTTATTAATTTAATGTAATTGTTATTATTACTGTATGTTTTAATATAACAAAGAGTATTACATAATATTATATACCCATTTAAAAATGTCGACGACAAATTACTTTTACGCTCAACCTGTCATAGCGAATTGTTATGCAGTTTTTTTTTCTATGGTAGTGTATTTAGTAACAACAATAAATAAAATAGTTATGTCCCGTGAGTTGAAAAATTAAAAAAAAAATTAGGTTAGTCGATGCATAATGATTCGATAGAAAAATAAACATAAATATGAGACTCTTATACATAAGTAGTAAAAGATTTTACTTTTTTGATTTAGAAATGTCCATTATCAGAAATATATCAAGCAATTAATTCTATTGAATTTTTCAATTACTAGCTAAGTATTATCAGACTACATATACTAATGTACTTTATAGTTTTTATTTCGTTTTCTCGATTTTCATGTTGATTTTAAGATATCGGTAGACAGTTGTAGATTAAATATTAAATGCAATAGATACAATTTGAGATTATTATAAATTAACACAACAACAAAGAAATAAAAGTATAAGTCTTCACTAGCCACAGGTATTCACAGGCACACATCCTTTATTTTTTGACAATGGCAACAACTGCTCGTGTTACAATCAATAGTTACGTATTAAAAAAAAAAATAGCACTAGGCTGTATGGGGCTCGTTCTTTGCCTGTACGATCTGGACGAAATTTTTAAAAAACATCAATACCTAGTTCTTCGACTAAAAACATTTATTTGACATGTTTACTTGATGAGTGATATTTTTTCTACAAAAAAAAAAAATGACAGGGTAAAACAAACCGCTCCTAATGACACAAACTTTTCAAAATGTGCGCGTTTTAACGAAATTTTTGACACGCTTATCATGAAAGATGTATTTTTCGAAAAAAAAACATTTTCTTTGTACAAATTCTTTTGGCTTGTGTCCGTTTTTTATCACGGCTTTTTTTATAACATTTACAAAACGCAAAACGCTTCGATGGAAATTTTTAATAAACACATTTTCTAATGTACTTCTTATTGTTATCATTATCATATTGATAAATTAATGCGTACTCCACAATGTAATATCTATAATCTAAGAACAAGGAATTACATAGAAGGAATAATAAAATAAAAAATATAAATCATATGGGTGCCTCCTTTCTGCTTATTTATTATAGGATTACCAACATAAGATACAGCTAAACATTTCAATACAATACACTGGTAGATTAGATCTAACTGTTCTTACATTTATACGCGACCACAGCATGCCTTGTGTTTGATAAACATTAAAATAGAATTAAATTATTAAATGTCATTAAACAAGTAAAAATATTATCAATATAAATAATGAAACATGTAATTGTTTTAAATTATAAATAAATATAATGCAATGGCGAGGTACATCAACATTTCAATTTAGCCATGAACACAGAGTGACAATCGTTGTGAATATCAAGTTCGGGCTTGGTTTTTACAATATCGTTATACAGACACGTTATGCGGACGATAGGTGATTCGCAGCCCAAGTTTGTTCTGCAAGCTGCATTTTTAAATAGATTGCAAGGATGCAAATACAATTTATTTATTTATTTATTTATTTAAACACCAACAGCATATTGCATTATAACATATAGGTATAACAACATTAAATACAATACAATATTAATGCACATGCCTATTATAGGTATTCACAACATTCACTTTAACGTAATTATACAGTGTAAGAAATTTAAGTAAATAACAAAAATAAACATGTAATCTAAGTTGTGAGCAAAATCAGTTACAATTAGTAAAAAGGGGACGAAAGATACATCATCTGTTGCTATTTCTCTCAATTCACAGCAGGCTAGTGTATAGAAAATGTTATACAGCCATATAACCCTACCAAATTCAGATACAACCTGTTCGCATACTTTATACATAAACTGTGTCCAATATATAATCTAGTAATGTAAATGAACAAAAATTTTTACATATATATTTTCTATGCCTGCTATATGAATTGCATATCTTTCGTCCTCTTTTTACTAATTATATTTGCATGAGAAGAAAGGAGGCAACCATATGATTTTACAGTTTTTATTTTATCATTCCTTCTATGTAATTCCTTGTTTTTAGATCTATCATCGCTAATGTATAGGTTACTTATATACCTATTGCATAGGTACATACTTGTTAATTACTCTATGGAGTTTAAAAATATAATATTATCTATGGTTGCTGTTATTATTTACGGTACTTAGCAAGATATCATACGATTTTACCGTCACGATATAATAGGAGAGTAAAATATATTTGTTTTTGTTTTTTTTCTGTAATGTGTAATCTGTTAAAATATCACTCTTTCTTACGTTCTAATCGAATACGCCTATTTTAGGTAAGCATTCATTCTCCCTGATCAATTCCCAACCCTCACAAACTATTTTTTTTATACAACTTAGAATGGCAAACAAGCCGACGGCCCACCTGATGGAAAGTGGTAATTGTCGCCTATAGACATGAGCAGTACCATGGACATAACAGAGTATGCTGTTTCGCCTATGATACCCCCCATGCGTTGCCGCTCCTGAGGACTCAGGTGTTATTGCTCTGTACCCAGTAAATTCACGCCATATCCCACCCTTCAAACCGAAACACAGCCATGCAAACACAACTGCTTCACAGTAGAAACATAAATGGGACAGAGGTACCTAAGCAATCGACTTTTGTACAAAGTCTCCCTCTGGTATCAATTAATAATAATAATATGTAATAACCTATAAACATATAATAATTATATCAATTAAATGGAATACTTTCATTTTTCGATATCATTAAAGCATAAATTTAAAATCGTCTCTATACAATCTTTATTAATAATATAAATGTGAAAGTGAGTTTGTTTATTTTATTTATTATTAAATTACCTTTTAGCGGCATAACAGCTTAATCAAACACTATGAAATTTAGTATATAGGTACGTACTATATGTGATGGAGGTGGGCATAGGCTTCTCTTTATCTCGGTCAATAAACATCTCTCTCTCTCTCTCTCTCTCTCTCTCTCTATATATATATATATATATATATATATATATATATATATATATATATATATATATATATATAACAGTTTCATATATTTCGCTCTCCATTATTTACTGACGGTATTTAAAAGCGTCCTAATGTATCAAATAAAGTTACAAAAAGGATAAATATTCAAATATTTTACAAAAATGGACGCTTGGATCTTTGTTACACTTTGTTACATGGATAGAGGATCTCGTTTGTTCTTAATGAACAGAAATATTTAAGGCCTATAAAATCAAAGGCAGCTAAACGTCAAAAAATCGATTTCATTTTCACTCTGTACTCAAATATAGAGGGAGTTCTATTAATTAGAATTCAAATTATTACCAATATTCTATTTTTTTTTTTCAATCTGATTTCAAATATAGAATATCGTTCCATATCCATGACAAAATATTAGTTTTGTAGTTTCCTGAACATTTGACAGATTTGGATTTAGCTGTCTTTGATTTTATAAGCCTCATTTGTAATAAATGTTTATAGCAATCAACAAGCAATCTAAATCATATCATAACTAATTAGCTTAAATATAATTTGGCAATTTTCGGATAAAACTTTATTAAAAATATCATAATATTTAATAATTATCCACTGATTTATCTGACCACATTATCCGGAAGTTTTATCTGGAAATTGAATAATTGGTTATGACAACGACAAATAATTTGAACAAGATTTTAATGGCATGCGACTTGCGCAGTCTAATATCTACGTATAAAAGTATCTGTAAAAGGTACTGCGCAAATTTCATTGTTTTCGTTCAAGTTATTTGGCGCGAACTGTACATTACCTACTGCGAAAATTATTTTTCCATAGACAAACTAATCGCATTTCAAATGCTCTGTATTTAAATTAAAATGATTGTGAAATAATAAATGGAATTGATTTTATAAAAGTTGGCGCGAAGTTTTAACGTATAATTGTTTTTACCAAGGAATTGAAATTTGTAATTAATTAAACTATTATTTATTACATGCGTTTATTAAATATGATTTTTATCTAAAGAACTCCATGTTTTATATTATGCTTATCTATACCTTTTTTTTTTAATCATCTACGAATGACTTAAAACTGAACGGTTTTATATCCGCATTTATATTTGTATTTGAGTATCAATATTATTAAAAAAAAAAAAACTATTAATTGCTTAAAAAAAAACAACATTATTAACTAGTTACCTTAGAGTTAAATGTACTTACATATTATTATTTTCACAGCAAATCGCTTTAATTTCAGCAAACTTAATAAATAAAGAATTATACTTAATTCTTTATTTAAAATCAATTTTTAAAATATTAAATTGTTAGTCCTATCATAGCGCAGTCATACATTATTTTTAAACCATAATACTAGTCTAGTACGCAGTAGGTTATTAAATAATCTTATGAATTATAGATTTAAAGATTGTAATCATTCACTGCGGTGTAAGATACTGGCTGAAACTAAATAGTTGTTTTTTATTCGTTTATTTATACATAAAATTAAAAAAAAAGAAATAATAAACATTCTTTGATGACCAATTATTTTTTTATCTCTATGTATGTACCTAGAAAGAATTGGCGCCAAAATTCCTTACTACTCAGTTCAATTTCCAATCAATCAAGAGAGTTAACCAGTTATTCACCGCGGTCGAATGCGCCATAGAATTGAAATCATAAATTGTGACTGATAAAGAAGATGGTTCTTCGTAGTTAAAAGTTACTGGAATACTTTTTTCGTAACTTCAATACTTTTTAGTCTGTGGCAAGGACCAAGTATGCATTTTTTTTAACGTATTGTATTGTCCATGCATTGTGTTTACCTCTAAAGAGCCAATGTAATGACAAAAAAGCATAATAAATATTGGTAAGCCGTTATCTAACGGATACAGCGTCCTCCATAAAACCGTCTACTGAATTAGTCCCGATAGGCTAACTGGCCTGTTTTCATCGGGATCACGGGATCACCATTCCTGTATCACCCATAAAAAAAACCATAGTCTACGGTTACTATTCCATTATTATTATTAATAAAAAAAGTTTTACTTTGGGTAATACAGTCCGAGACAATACATAGTTACTCAATTGAAGTTACAAAAATGTATTCATAGTTTTATTCATGTTTTAGACCTATTAGAGTAGAAGAGTATATACTATCAGGGTTAGACATGGTTGGTTTACCGAAATATCGTCATAGTCGTAGAATACTGACGGATCTATATATGTAATATTTGTCAGATCCGTCGGTATTCTACGACTATGACGATATATGCATTTTGAATGTTATTTCTTTTTATATTATTTATGTAAGTGACATAGGTGTTAATTTGTTCATTTTCCTAATTCTATAAACCTATATTCAATTATGTGCTAGTTGGTAAAATCAATACAAGTTGGATATATTAATAAAAATTATATATTATATATTTAATTTTTAAACTACAGTAATTCTGTACTTACAAAAAAGTTTCAATTAAACTGCTCATAAATTCATATTAAGCGAATTCAAAACTTTCCTTTGCTTTATAGATTCTTTTATTATTATATTAATTTATAAAATACATAAAAATGTGTTTAATAATTCGAGTACCTACTTTATTTTTTCTTTTACCTACAGTTCATAATTTATTATTTTTAACAAAGCCGAAATTCGCGCGATACTGCATAATAATAATTAAAACGAGTGACACATTTACATTCATACCTATTATAGGAGTATTTACCTAGAAATTTAAAATGACGCTGCAAAATCATCAGTTTGAATAAATTTAAATCGATTCACTGCCGCAAAAACAATCTATAGTGAGCAGAAATGACTATTTACTCAAATAACACTAATGTAAGATACGAAATATCTATTTTCCTAGGTGGTTAGTTATTTTCTATACATACTAAAGCGATATACCTAATATATGAATAATTAAATATTATGTGTTTAGCAGCATCGTTTTAAATTTCATTTTTATCAAATTATACAATTAATTGTTTACTACGACGAAATTAAACTATACAATAAATGGAGGCACCACAATCTGTGTATTATTATATTTTCGAATACGCCAGAGTATTTGGCGGTAATACTTAACTTTAAGACGTTATATATTTGTATTTAAATACGCGGCAATTGCTGATTGTATTAAAACAGTATTCTTTCTGTATTCATATTAATAATACATTTAAAGAGAAATAGATATTTACAAGTAACAAAGTTCGATTGTCACGTGACTTGAACTGTAACAATTTTTTCCTTTGCCTCTACTGCGCAAACTTCATTCTCTATGGTATTGTACGTAAATTTTTGCCGCGAACTGTTCAATCCATTATCTATTAAAATTGAACGATAAATTAACAATTTATCACTGTATTATTTAATGTCGTCGAAGAATAACGATTGTAAATTGTAATGAAAATTGTAAATATTTTTTCGCTGTGTCGAGACGTCCACGTTACATCTGATAGTAAATCAGTTCTTCATGTTTTCCTGTGTTTTCTTTAATCAACCTCTTTTTCATTATAATAAACTAAAGATGGCAAGTGAACATAATTATACAGCCTTCAGCGCCCCAATCTTTATTTACTCCCCTAGACAAGCGAACAACGATCCAGTCGATTCGATAGATATTTTTTTATTAGCATACGCACTAGAAAGAACAAGATGCAGGCTATTGCTGTCTCGTTTTATCTCATGTATTCTGTAGTGATAACGTATCCAATGATGCTGAGCAGTGCTTTAACCTATATTGCGCTTGCACGTTCATATTATACTTCTCTTGGGGATTCCAAATCTTATAAATCATTGTCACACAGTACAGTTTGTAATATTACAGAGTAATGAGATCTTACAGGTCAATTACTAGCAATGCACCTTAACAGGTTGACCTGCACGCGGTTCCCCCTGGAAATCATAGTGATTATTTTTGGATGAATTTATCATGATGGACTAACTGACTTGCTTTATTCTTACCAATCATCCCTTTCTGGTGGTTTGCCAGCGTATACCCATAGCGCAGGTATACCCATTTGGATCCATTAAAAATACCCTAACAGTGCTATTGGTAAACACCAGCGGAGTACCTTTGATGGGTGAAAATGGTATGGTAACTCCATCTGCACTAACGGGATACGCTGGCGGAGCAACAGTGAAGGGTGATAGATGAGAATGAAAACAGGCCAGTTAGCCTATCATGATGAATTCATCAGGAATTAACCATGATAGTTTCCAGGGAGTTTGCCATTATTTTCACCGGTACCTTTCCTGCACTAGATTACCCGCCAATTAATTATTTTCTCTCTAACTACACTGGGTTGGCTGGAAGAGATCTCTTTCAGAGATAAGCCCTCCCTTGCTAACAAGTTGTTAAACTAATCGCTATATGTATTGTTCAAGTGCAATAAAGAATATATATATACATATATAATAATGAAATTTTGTACACTGTATGCGGTTTAATTCAGCTTGGAAGATTTTTTTTGATGGACGATAATGGAATGGTAGCCCCGCGTGCGTTAACGGTATACACTGACGGGGCACCAGTGAAGGATGATACGTGAGAATGAATAGGCAGATCAGTTAGCCCATCGTGATGAATACTCTTGGAATTCAGCACGATGGTTTCCATGAGGGACCACGGGGAGGTCGACCTGTTAGAGTATATTGTTAGCAATGGGAGTGGTAATCCGCATTACTAACAATCCCTCCCCCCCCCCCAGCTTTCCCAGAAAATTAGGTAGTTTTTATTTCAATTCACGGTTCCAATATTTTATTTCATCTGCGAGTTCCTTAAATGTTTAACAGATGGCGGTGTGTGTTAGATTATCAACGTAACGCTTCAACTCTTAGTGTCCGGATTAGTAAGTATCTACCGGTACTACAGATGGGCAAAATGGTAAAAACCCAATAAACACCCATAAACTCCCATAATCACCCAAAAAAATAGGTTTTTACGTATTTTTTTGAAAATATGTAAGTAATACCAATAAATTATTTTTATAAATTGTATTGATCAATTCTACAATATTAAATAAAACGTTAACTAATAATATTTCAGGAAATTTTAAAAATCTATATATAATAAAATGAAAGTAATTAATTTTCAGTGTTTTCATGTTGCAGTTGATCAACATGTTGGCCTTTTGCTTCCCGTAGATACTTTAAAATTTCTTCATAACACCTCGTTCGCACACATGGCCGTATATATTTAAATTCTTGAGCCACTAACAGTCCGAAATACTCATTTCTTTTATCCTCTTCTCCATAAATTAAGCATTTAGAACAGTTTGTTTCTTCTTTCAGTAAATTTTCTTTTACTTTATCCTCGTTTTTTTCTTTGTTGCGACGACGCTGGGTAAATCATCTGGACACTGGGTCTCACTATCGCCAAATATATTTGGAGATCGGCTTCGGCTACGGCTTGGCAGACATTTTTTTCTTTCTACAATTTTAAATTAAATTTATTAGAATAAATGCTTCGAACACACGCGATCTAAGTACCTTTTGTGTTTATTATACCTTACCTACCTAGGTATAAAAAGAGTACTTACGTAGATTTTCTTTTATTAACTGTTTTATACGAAGATCTTGATCTCTCAAATTAGCATCCATTTTACTTCCAGTGATTATCAACTAAATTAATAATCCACAAAGTATTAAATAACGTTTTTATGAAATATTTAGCACAAAAACAATACCCTTTAAATATCGATCGTCAGTAACTGTGGCTGACTTACCTATATTCTAGCAAGCAGGACTGCCAGATGTGAAGGGGAAATCCCCAATAAATTGTTGCATGTGACTGATGATGTGAGCATGTTCGTTTCATAATAAAAATGTTGCCAGGTAACCAAAAAGTCGTATGTTTTTGTGCGAATTACGATCATAATCTTTACGATCGTACATTAAAAAATAGACAAATAATAGTATGAGTACGATTTAAATCGTATATCTGTCAACCCTGCTAGCAAGACAGCGACAAAATCACGTTGCATAACAATGTAGCCCAAGCTTATATCTTATGAAATATACGGAAGAGATACGGACTTAGAAAAAACAGAAATGTTGTTCTTTGTGGAAGTCATTGATGAAATTCTATGTATTTTAGCCCGCAAACTTTCTTCAAACAAAAACAGCGCCATCTAGTATCGAGTTCTGTAATTATCTCTTTGTTTATGGATTTGAAGTAAGACCGCCACGCATGCAATACATTATGACTGGGGATTCCCCTATTCGTCGACGCTGAATATGAGGCGACGACAATCACTGTCAAACGTGTTCACTATTACTCTGACTCTGGTAACGTGACTTCCTGGTAACGTGTTAGGTAGGAAAAGCAGTAAAAAAGTGCATATTAAGGGAGCAGATTTGAAATAATATTTATACTTAACAAGAAATAATTAAAGGTAAGTGGATTTTTGAATGATACAATTATATCATGATCACTTAACAATTTTAACTTAAAATTAGATGTATTATTACAAGCTTTTATTTAGCTTGCGTTATGTAAATAAAAGTATGTAGGTATGTTCGTATGTTGATGCAATTATCCTCAATCCTCAACCGACTGGGATAAAATTTTCCATACACGTTTATTTTGGATGATAGTGCATAGTTAGCTGAGAGTCGTCATTGGATAATAATGGTGGATAGCCTAAGATGTGTACTAGATATTTATTTTTAACATAATATGCGTAAGTACCTAATCGAATTAAAGAAGTTGCTGAGAAAAATACAGAACAATACGATAATAAACTAGCGTCTGCGTTTAATCCTCCGAGGAGATGTAATTTTACAAAGGTTTTTTGTATTTATTTTATTATTTTTTTAATAAATTTATTGTAAATAACAAGAAATAATCATTGTAAAAAAATAGGCACTCTATTGTTGAATTTTCGTCAGACCAACTAATCATCGTTCATTTTTTTAGGTTCAATGGGGAGACCTAAAGATTTACGCATATGGGAGCACTACCGTACTTTACCAAACAAGTCTGTTTCTTGCAAGCTTTGTAATAAGGTCTACAAATTCAGTAATGCTGCCAAAATGCTTCAACATCTTATCACTTGTCCAAAATCTCCAGAAACATTAAAAGACTCTATGAAACTTATAAAAGATAGCTCGTCCAAAACCAAAATGTCTGGACTGTCAGAGATAGAGACAAATGATTCTTTTATAAGCCCCTCGTCGTCTGCTAACACTACAATAAATGCTGAGTTTCAAGACACCGATGATCATATAAAAACAGAATTAGCGAGAGCTATATTTGTAACAGGGACGCCATTATCGATGGTGCAACATCCTTTATGGATACAATTTTTCGAAAAATTGCAACCAAAATTTAAAATACCTTCACGTAAAGCTTTAGCGACAAAATACTTAGATAAAATATATAGAGAAATGCGTTTTGAGTTAAATGAGGAACTAAATGCTTGTAGTTACTTACACCTTCAGTGCGATGGCTGGTCTAATTTAAGAAATGAAGGAATAATAAACTTTCTTATATCAAAACCTCAACCTGCATACGTTAAAAGTTTGAATACAGAAAGTAATCCTCACACTAGTGAATACCTTAGCCAAGAAGTTGAAAAAGTAATGAAAGTGTATGGAGCAAATAAGTTTCTTGTACTTATTGGCGATAACGCTAGAAATATACAAAAGGCATTCGAATTAACAAAACTCAAATATCCACATGTTGTTCCTCTCGGTTGCTGTGCACATATCCTTAACTTGTTGTGCCAAGATATTGTAAAGATACAAGAAGTAACTGTGTTTATTATGCAAGCCATAAATATAATAAAAACTGTTAAAAGGAGTCAACGATTAAGTTCCTTGTTGATAAAATCAAGGCAGGGTGAAGATTCTACACAAACACTAAAATTGCCTTGTGCTACAAGATGGGGAAGTCATGTTACTTCGTTAAAAAGTTTGAAAGCAAATAAGATAGCTTTGCAAATATTAACAGTTAGAGAAGATATGGTAATTTCAAGAGATATTAAAGATTTAATTCTAAGTGATGATTTCTGGACGAAGACAGGGGAATGTATAAGTATTTTGGAACCAGTCACTGAAAGCATATTTTACTTAGAGAGCGACCAGAATCGTTTGCATCGCACATACATTACATTTAGAGATGTACAAGCTAAGATACGTTTTGCATTAAATGAGATTTCGACATTGAGCGAAGAAAGCAAACAGCAGATTCTAACATCAGTATCTTCAAGATGCAATATGGCAATGAGGCCAATACATTTTGCAGCATATATTCTAGACCCCAGGACTCTAGGAGTCGAACTTACTCAAGAGGAAGAACTTAAGGGTATGGAGTTAATCTACAATTTAAGCCAACACTTAAGTTTGTCAAATGTAATGGCAGATTTGGCGTGTTATAAAGCTAAAGAAAACTTTTGGGCCAGAGGATTTGTATGGAGCTCATTAGATAGCATTGAGCCCCTAATATGGTGGAAAGGTATTTGTGGTTCCACTGAGTTAAGCAAAGTAGCGATTCGTATTCTATCAGCTCCCTGTACTTCGGCAGCCACTGAGCGTTCCTTTAGTATCCAAGGCTACATACATAATAACAAAAGAAATCGACTTACAACTGAAAGAACTGAAAAAATTTCATTCATTTGTTATAACTGGAATCTTAAACATAAAGCTGAATGCGAGGACATTCAGTTTAATGAAGAAAATACCTTAGAAGCTTTCATTGAGCAAGTAAATGAACATAACAGTTTAGACGAAATAGAGCCTATCGAACCTATACAATTCATCGCTTGTAATAACTCTGAATCTGACAGTGATTGACTGTAGTTTTACATTTTACTTTCATCTCTTTCTTAATAAACTCAAAATCAAATTAAAAGTTTTTTATTCTGTAGGCTGCATAATAATATTGTCTATGTCCAGTATAGTGGACGTCTTGCGGCTGAGATGACGATGATGAAGTACAAAATCATAAACACCCAAAAATTTGGGTGTTTATGGGGTTTAAACCCAATAAACCCAAAACACCCGGTTTTTACCCACCAGACTTTAAACCCACCCAGGTGGATTGCCCATCTCTAACCGGTACAGATAGATGGTACTGTTTTTTCTATGGGTGATAATGACGTTGTAACCCCACCCGCGATATCGGTATACACTGCCGGGACACCAGTGAAGGATGATAGGTGAGGATGAAGCAGGTCAGTTAGCCTATCGTGACGAATTCAACGAGAATTGTTCACGATGGTTTCCAGGGGGAACCACGTGGAGGTCGACCTAATAGGGCATATTGCTAGCAATGGGGCTGTTAAACTCCATTGCTAACAATCCCTTTCCCCCGATGGTACTATTTTATTTTTGTTGGGTGAAAATGGTAAGGTAACCCCGCCTACGCTAACGGGATACGCTGACGGAGCACCAGTGAAGGGTGATAGAGGAGAGTGAAAACAGGCCAGTTAGCCCGTCATAATGAATTTATATATATCGTTATATAGCGAAAAAAGTCGATATTGATATATCGATGTATCGGTGTAACAAACCGATATATCAATATATTTTTTTTTATTTTTAGAGAAAAAAGCAATCGGGATAAAAGTCAGCCCTATTCATTGTTCGAAGTGGAACTTCTTAACAGCTTTTGATTCCTTCCCAGGGAGGGTGGAGTAATATAGAAGAACCAGACACAGATAAAACAGCTTAAGTCGGGACGGTTAGTAGTACAAAAAACGATATATTGAGTTCGTATCGATATTATTATATCGATATCGACTTTCTTCCGATATCTGTATATATCGATATTTCGGATGTCGACATATCGATAGTTATCGGGTTCCCAATATATCGTTGCAACCCTAGTTGGCTGATATCTGTGTCACGTCAAAAAGTCCAAATGTCAAAATAGTTTTCGTATTTGTTTACATTTTTCAATTAATTTTATTAAATATATTAATTAATAAGTTTAAAATACCTTTAAAATGTCGAAGTCCGCTCACGTAGTAGATGGCGAAGCTTCAGAATCGGAGTCCGAAATCGAAGTTGAAATTGGAAGAACACCAGTTAGTATTAAATATTTTGTTTTTATAAACTTGTTTTTATTAATGTGGCCAGTATTTTTGTTCTTCAAAAAAACAATAACGGCAAGTGTTACTTGATATTTCCTTGCTCTTACAACTTGATATATATTGCGGTTGAGTGGTTAGTACCCATCGTCTACATGGCAAAGAGTAATTATAGCGGAACTATAGTTACGCCATGCCTAGCCTCGCTACTGCGAACTAAGGTGTTACAGTTCTGCTATCAGAGATTAATACAATCTTATATACAGATTGGATCTCATATAAAATATATTCAAATACATTTATAGGATTTACGACTTTTTTTTATTTATTTTTTTATACAACTTAGAATGGCAAACAAGCTGACGGCCCACCTGATGGAAAGTGGTAACCGTCGCCTATAGACATGAGCAGTACCATGGACATAACAGAGTATACTGTTGCCATTCCTGAGGACTCAGGTATTATTGCTCTGTACCCAGTAAATTCACGCCATATCCCACCCTTCAAACCGAAACAGAGCTATGCAAACACAACTGCTTCACGACTGTGATCCCGGCATAGAATAGGTCACACCTTCCTTTCCCATAAGTGTCATTAGAGCTGACTAAGGGAGGGTGTGGGATGGGCAGCAGCATCCCTCTTAAAACATCTCTAAAGTCTAACTACGGTGGCCAATCCACCTGCCAAACGTAGGAACTACTGGCAAAACCCCCCCAAAGGAGAGGCTTATGTTCAGCAGTGGACAGTTAAAGCCTGATATGATGATGATGATGATTTATTGGACTAAATAAAGATAGCTATGTGCAAACCCGCGAGATACAAGTTATAAAATAAAAAAAATTTTGAATATTTTTTAAAATTACAGGACAGCCATCTGTCTCCAAGTATGGATAACTTTGTCATATCTGGAGAAGCGCCAGAATCTGATGATGGTATGTTGATTGTCTATACATAGATGTATTATATAATTATTTTATTTATTTATTTATAAAAAACATACCAACAATACGCACACAACAATTAAGCAGACAATGTAATAATAATAATAATAATAATATAAGCCTTTATTCAGACATTTTTTTTTAAAAAAACAATGTATTAAAACTTATTATTTAATTGCTGTTGTCTGTTTGCTTATTAGCAAAGGCCTCCTCCAACTGTCTCCAATGGTCTCTATTGCTAGCAATTCTTGTCCAAATACCCCTGCTTCAGCCCTAATGTCATCTACCCATCTTCTATGTGGTCTTCCTCTTCTCCTTTTTTTGTCTTTCGTGTACCAAAACATTATCTTTTTACTCCATTTATCTCTCCCTCTAATTGTATGCCCTGCCCATTTCCATTTAAGTTTTTTAACTGTGACTGTAACATCTTTAGTTTTTATGTGTTTTTTAATTGTGCTAGTTTTAATTCTGTCTGATAATCTTATCCCCATCATACTTCTTTCCATGGCATTCTGGCAATTTTGTAGTTTTTTAAAGTGGGATTTGGTAAGAGCCCAGGTTTGGCAACCATATGTAAGAACTGGTAAAATACAGGTTTCAAATAGTTTACCTTTTAAGGCTGTGTTTGTCATTTTGCTTTTAAGTATTTCCTTTAGACTCCAAAATCGTTTCCAGGCATTTCCTATACGTTTTTCAATCTCCTTTGTAGTTAAGTCTGTTGGTGAAATTATTTGACCCAAATATACATACTCATCTACATATTCAATTTTTTTGTTGTTGATGCAGATAGTTTCCCCTTTTTTCCCATTTGTCATAATTTTTGTTTTTTCTTTGTTCATAACCAAACCTACTTTTCGGCTTTCTTTATCTAATTCATTAAGCATTACTTGTAGATTGTCTCTTGTTGGGGAAAATAAAATTAAATCGTCGGCGAATCTCAGATGTGACAGGTATTCCCCGTTCATTAATAGTCCATACTCATCCCAATTTAGTTGACGAAAGATCTCTTCTAATACTGCAGTGAAAAGTTTAGGTGATATGGGGTCACCCTGCCTTACTCCCCTTTCTATTTTGAATTCCTTTCCTTCTTTTTCTAGCTTTACTTTTGCTTTACTGTTTCCATATATGTTCTTCAATATTCTGATGTATTTAATATCAATACCCTGATTTTTAAGTGCATACCAAATTGCCTCATGTTCGAGGGTGTCGAAAGCCTTACTATAGTCTACAAAGCAGCAGTAAAAGGTGATATTGTATTCTTTACTTTGTTCGAAAAGTTGCTTGACAACATGGATATGGTCTAAAGTTGAATATCCACTCCTGAAACCTGCTTGCTCCCTTGGTTGGTTATCGTCTAATAGTTTGGTTATGCGGTTTAAAATAACTTTAATAAAGATTTTATATATGTTCGACATAAGGCTTATGGGTCTATAATTATTAATATTACTTTTGTCCCCTTTCTTGTGCAACAATATAATGGTGGATATAGTCCATTGTACACATTATAGACAATGTACATTGATACGAGGTTTGTCCGGAAAGTACGTATAAAAGTTTTTTAAAAATTTTATTTTACAATTATTCAGGTAAATCAATTTTATCCCCTTCAAAGTACTCCCCCTGTGACATAATGCACTTGTGCCAACGCTGTTTCCACTGTGAGAAGGCTCCTTGAAAGTCCTCTGGTTGTAGGTTTCTCAGCTGCCCCGTCGTAGCTTTTTTTATCTCATTTATGTCCCCCAAATGCCGCCCCCGAAGTACCAATTTGGTTTTTGGGAACAAGAAGAAGTCACACGGGGCCAAATCCGGCGAATAGGGGGTGTTCGGTCACCGTAATGGAATTTTTACTCAAAAACTCACGGACAACAAGAGAGGTGTGGGCAGGGGCATTGTCGTGGTGAAGAATCCAACGCCCCTCTCGCGCCAATTCTGGACGAACTCGTGCCACACGACTGTCTGACCGTTAAACGACGGTCCCCATTAACACAAGTTCGAATTCTTTCCACGTTTTCGTCGGAATGTGAAGTGGAAGGACGTCCTGAACGTGGGTCATCTTGAACGCTTTCTCGGCCCTCTCTGAATCTTTTTAGCCACTTGTGGACGGTTGGTTCCTTCACAGCATCATCCCCATAAACTGTTCTGAGATCGGCAAAAATTTCACGGCCATTCTTGCCGAGTTTCGAGAGAAACTTGATTACGACGCGCTGCTCTTCAACGGAAGCGGGCTCCATGCCGACGGGGTTTCGTTAAGAGGTAACTTCACAGATGGCGTGACAAGCCAGTTCGCACCGCACGGCAGTCAGACCAGAACTGAAGCATTGTTAGGGACATAAGGAAGGGGTCCTGCGCTTACCTGGCCTCCCCACTCCTCTTTCTCGCATTCCAGAACACTTTTATACGAACTTTCCGGACAGACCTCGTATAAATTTAGTAAAAAGTGAAAAACTATATATATAACAATATAAATATATATATATATATATATATATATATATATATATATATATATATATATATATACAATATTAGCAAAGGGGAACTTATCTCTAAAAGAGATCTCTTCCAGTCAACCTAACACAGTGGCATAGCAAGTAGTGAGTAGGCAGTAATAGTGCAAGACAGAAATTTAAATAAATGTTTACACAAATTATAAATCATTATATATATATATATATATATATATATATATATATATATATATATATATATATATATATATATATATATATATATATATATATATGTATGTATGTATGTCCTATGGTGTGAAATTGTTGCAGAATCAAAGCTGTCACCTGCTGACCCTATTGACATAGATCTCCCACTGAACACAGCTCTGTCTCAACCGACCAACCCCAGCAAGCTGGTGTACACGTCTCTGCTGCATCAGAAATTATGTACGTACTAGTATTCACTGGGGGGAAAGGGATTGTTAGTAATCATGTTTTTTTTTAATGGATGATAATGGAATGGTAACCCCGCCTGCGCTAACGGTATACGCTGGCAGGTCACCAGTGAGGGATAACAGTTAATAGATGATAGATGAGAATGAAAACAAGCCAGTTAGCCCATCATGATGAATTCATCAGGAATTAACCATGATAGTTTCCAGGGAGAACCGCGAGGAGGTCTACCTGATTGGGTATATTGCTAGCAATGGGATTCTCAGTCTCCATTACTAACAATCCCTTTCCCCCCGAAGCAGGTCTGTTAGCCCATCGTGATGAATACACCTGGAATTCAACACGATGGTTTCCAGGAGAGAGCAAGCGGAGCTCGACCTGATAGGGTGTATTGTTACTAATGGAACTAGTAGTCCGCGTTACTAACAATCCCTCCCCCCCACCCCTAGTGGGGTCTAAAAGGCCCGTTGTTAACAATATATGCTATAAGGTATATGATACTAGATGGAAAACAATAAAAAAAATCTGTGTAAGGATGCCCTAATCACCTAGTGGTGTGAAATATACTTTACAATCTATTCTCATACCTAACAAATATACATAAAAAATTCATAAAATTCGGTCGAGCCGTTTCAAAGGAGTGCGACCACAAGCAACGTGACACAAGATATATATATATATACATACATATATATATATATATATATATATATATATATATATATATATATATATATATATATATATATATATATATATATATACAGATTTATATACCACTAAACCTAATTCACTGGCCTAATTTATTTCAGGGGAATGCAATGTATCGCTAAGGGCAACCATAGAAGGTCTTATCAGGCATACAACAGACATTTCCGTAGAGAAATTGACCAGTGCTGATAAAACTTTGCTAAACGTGCAGGTCAGTATTTGCATATGTCATTCATAAACGCACTATTAAAGATATCGTGAAAATAGAGTTAATAAATATATAGGTAATATGGATACCGATCCAACATCTATATATTGGGTTTTTAGGAACATTAATGGCAAGAAAAAGATTTGTTGGCAACCAATTGCTTTTTATTTAAAATACTGTATACTGCATGGAAAGGGACTGACTGACCAGAGGGAGACTTTGTACAAAAGTCGATTGCTCGGTCACCTCTGTCCCATTCGTTTTTCAACTGCGAAGCAGTTGTGTTTGCATGGCTGTGTTTCGGTTTGAAGGATGGGATAGTGCAGTGAAATTACAGGGTACAGAGGAATAACACCTGAGTCCTCAGGAATGGCAACGCATGGGGGGTATCATGGTCGAAACAGAATACTCTGTTATGTCCATGGTACAGCTAATGTCTATAGGCGACCGTTACCACTTTCCATCAGGTAGGCCGTCAGCTTGTTTGCCATTCTAAGTTGTATAAAAAAAAGGGATTGTTAGTAATGCGGGCTACCAGTCCCATTGCTAGCAATATACCCTGCCAGGTCGATCTCCATGTGGGCCCTGGAAACCATCATGCTGAATTCCATGTGTATTCATAGCGATGGACTAACTGGCCTACCTTTGCACCCTTACCTATCATCCCTCACTGGTGCCCCGTCAGCGTATACCGTTAGCGCAGGAGGGGTTACCATTCCATTTTCACGTATTAAAAAACTTATTCTAACATATTATATGTTGCCATGACAGGATGTAGTGTTGCCATTACGGAAAAATTAAAATGTCCAACAGTTACAAGCTGAATTTGTATTTATTTCCAGGAAAGCATGAGAGCAACTAACGCCAACCTAACCCTCGCCAAAGCGAGACTGCAGCAGCTGTGCGCGGCGTTGGACAAGGCGAACTGTGCGACCGCTTTACCCACTGTCAAAGTGAAACATTGATTTTTACCCAAATTTTGACGACCATTGTGACACAGCAGTAAGCATCAGGGATGTGTAATATATAAACTATATAGCATTATCTATATATTTTAGTCATGCAAACACAACTGCTTCACGGTTGAAACACGAATGGGACAGAGGTACCCAAGTAATCGAGTTTTGTACAAAGTCTCCCTCTGGTAAATACGTTTGTAAATTAATATATCCATTAATGAATCAATATATTTTACTACAATATATATATATATATATATATATATATATATATATACGTATATATATATACGTATATATATATACGTATATATATATATATATATATTGCTATATGCCAGCTATCATCATTTGTTTTATTTTTATGTATATTATTTTAATATAAGGATTGTATATATAAAACATAAAATATAAGACGGGGCAACTTTTTTTTAAATATTAGCTAAGTGCTAGTGTTAGCCATTATGCCACTAATAGGAAACAAGACGAGATTTTATATTAGTAACGGGCAACACTAGCAAATTTAAAAACGCACTTTTTCAGTGTTACAAGTTTAAGATTAGATTACGATTCCCAGATCAGGTCGTTTTAAATTAGGATTTATGATTCAAATCTACATATTGCTTACAAATTAATAGATAGATAGATACTCTCTATTGTTTCCTCCATAAGATTACAATAGTAAACTTATTATAGATACAAACAATTACAAGAAATTATCACAGTGAGACAACAATGGGCGGCCTTATCGTTAAGAGCGATCTCTTGCAGCCAACCTTTGGATGGAGAGGAGTAATTATAAACAGTTTGATCGGAGACACGATGAAGATCCTATTATTTCTAAATATGGAGATATAATACATGTTATAATGTAAATATATATCCCTACTCAATTAAAAGAGCGGCCGTTTTAATTTTTTTTAAAACGAAAATATTATACACAAATATAAATCAAAGTAATTAGTAAAGATGAGTATCATTACGAATCATTATGGACTGTTTATTCAGTGTTTTCAAATGTATTCGTAAAAATTTTACTTCCTATTTTTCAATTTAACCTGTTAATATACTTTCTCCCATATACATAGTAAGAAATGTACATTATGGCAACACTATTCACGCAGCATGATAAAAAAGTTGGCCTGTTTTTACTGACACTTAGTTTTTTTATCTGTTAAAATTTTTAGATAAGACCATGTTTTCTATTCTTTATCTATGTTTAATTTTAATGTTAAATAATAAAACACGTTACTGTCAAAGATAGAGAAATATTTATTTTAATATCCTTAAACACTATATCCGCTGATGTCATATCCCCACGCCGCCATCTTGTCGTCCACCCACTTCCTGAACATGGGTACGTTCGCGTATACCGCGGGGACATCCTTCTGCCCGCACCCTATACCCCATGAGACTAAGCCTGTCAGTTTATACCGGTCACCTCCTATGGGACACGCTAGTGGCGCCCCACCGTCACCCTATGGGAAACAAAAAATAACAATAAAAATATACTCCAGAGCATACATACATACATACATATCTGTCACGCCTGTCTCCCATTAGGGTAGGCAGAAACAATTGAACGCAAAATGCTTCGATTCAAACAAACCTCTTTCGCTTCTACCACATTCATCTATCTTTTCATACACGCTCGCCGGTTACGGGTACTTTTAATTCGGCCCTTCTTCAGCACGTCGCCTATTTGGTCGACATACGTCCGTCTAGGGCGGCCCCTACCGACATCTCAATCTCCACTCCAGAGCAATAATATTCTAATTGAAAAAAAAAAAGTATTTTTTATGGTATTGATGGGAAATGGTAACCACCGCCCATAGATATAAGCGAAACATGAATATGAAATACACAGTGATTCCTACGGTACCAGTCTGCTTTGCCAGTCCTTCGAACTATAGTGTTGTACCTCTGTACTCTGTAATTTCACTGCCATATCCTACCCATTGAATCGAAACAGCCACGCTAGTGCAGTTGCTTCATGGTAGAAATACGAGAGTTATTTTGGTATTTTGATTTCACGGTGGATATTTTCCAATGGTTCCAGACCCCTTTTGTATGACGCATATGTACTCTCAAACATGCTTGCGGAGCTTCGCTTACATTTTGGAGTGGGACTGTCCACCTGACCCTTCTCTCCCCCCTCAAAAGGGGGGGATTGTTAGTAAAGCGGATTACCAGTCCCATTGCTAGCAATATACATGTAGGATTGATAGTAGGGTTCATATTGTAAATAAATTTAATCAATAATTAAAAAGAACAATAATTATTTTACAGTAAAACGAATAAATGTTTTAAATTGTCCAAGTCAACAAAACACTCTCTCCGGTCGCTGGCCCGTGCGCGGTATGCGCGCGCAGCCAACAATCACAAAGCGCATGCGCGACCTGCGCGCGCATCCTGCGACTGAGTGCCGCGACCAAGCGCCATGTTATAAATATATATATATGACAAAATGTTAGTTTGCTTGTTAAAACTTAATTATATTATAAAAGTTGACATATAAACATTGGTAAGTATTATCTCACCACACACTATCAGGTCGATCTCCACGTGGTCGTATATGCAAACCATCGTGCTGTATTACAGGTGTATTCATCACGATGGGCTAACTGACCTGCCTTTTCATCCTCACCTGTCATCCCTCACTGGTGCCCTGTCAACTTATACCGTTAACTCAGGCGGGGTTACCATTCCATTATCATCCATTAAAAAAGGGGGAGGCCCCCTCCCCCTCATTCCGCCTATGTTAGCATCGTGTTCAGTTTTATTATTAACTGTCACGACATAATACCTACTTGACAAGTGTCCTTCCCTTCTTCCCCTCCAGCACATACAAAGCTGCTATGCAGCCTGAACTTGGAGCCGAGCCGAGTTTTCTTCAGTTGTGCCTCGCATCGCGTGTGTGGAACCATGTCCACTTGCACCTTCTTCAGGATCACGGCGTACCGCCCTTGAAGACCTGGTGGAGATGGGATTGTTAGTGACTATTTTTTTTATACAAATTAGAATGGCAAACAAGCTGACGGCCCACCTGATGGAAAGTGGCAACCGTCGCCTATAGACATGAGCAGTACCGTGGACATAACAAAGTGTACTGTTTCGCCCATGATACCCCCCATGCGTTGCCATTCCTGAGGACTCAGGTGTTATTCCTCTGTACCCAGTAAATTCACGCCATATCCCACCCTTCAAACCTAGGACACTAATCTTAGGCCCTAACAGAGGAAGACCAGAAGGAGACTTTGTACAAAAGTCGTTTGCTTGAACACCTCTGTCCCATTCGCGTTTCTACCGTGAAGCAGTTATGTTTGCATGACTGTGCTTCACTATGAAGGGTGGGATATGGCATCAATATATAGTGTACAGAGGAATAACACCCGAGTCCTCAGGAATGGCAACGCATGGGGGGTATCATGGGCGAAACAGTATACTCTGTTATGTCCATGGTACTGCTCATGTCTATAGGCGACGGTTACCACTTTCCATCAGGTGGACCGTCAGCTTGTTTGCCATTCTAAGTTGTATAAAAAAAAACTGTCCACTGCTGAACATAACCTCCCCCATAAGAGGGGTATTGCCAGTAGTTGCCACGTTTGGCAGGCGGACTAGCAACCGCAGTTTGGCTTTTGGTGATATTTTAAGAGGGATGCTGCTGCCCATCCCTCGCCCTCCCTTAGTCGCCTCTTACGACACCCACGGGAAAGGAAGGGGTGGCCTATTCTATACCGGAACTTACAACAATTAAAGTTTTAACAGTTGTCGGTTAATAGCCTCTCAACTGTGTCATGCAAAATGGTGTAAAATCCACATCTGTGGCGTCCCGTGAGCGGACTTTACACAGACTAGGTATTTTTAGCGTATAGGTTTAAAAAACCCTGATTTTTCCGAAATCTATTTGGAGTTATACAAAATTCAGATTAGATTTATATTCCAACTAGATTCCTTATGTAATTTCTTACACTACACTCGACTTGAATTGCATTGCAACTGTTTTATGAGAAATAAAATGGCGTCACCTATAAATTGCCTTTTATTTTTCAAATATTAAAAAACTAAGACTTTGCTGGATGTAAAATTATATATTTTTTGTACAATATTATATACTTGATAAAATAAAAATAAAATTGCTTGTGTTCCAATACATTTTTTTTATACAGCACTTGTTTATAAACATGGACCAAAAAGAGACCCTCTTTAATTGACACTTAAGTGGGCCTCCTATACATTCTTGGCGTTAGGGACATAAGGTGGTTTGTTTACAATAATTTAAGCTTATCGCCAAGCTAGCTTATCCTTTTAAAATATCAATAAATATTAAAACCTACAAAAAGAAAATTAAACATTTTCACCTTGATGCTAACTATGCCTACGCAGATCTTACCTTGACATGTCATGTCTCCATAAGATGGTGAATAATCACATTGATTGCCCACCTCTACTGGGGAAACTAGATTACAATGTACCTACTAGAGTGCCGCGGCATCCTTGTAATCTATTTAAAAATGCAGCTTGCAGAACAAACTTGGGCCGCGAATCACCTATCGTCCGCATAACGCGTCTGTATAACGATATTGTAAAAACCAAGCCTGAACTTGATATTCACAACGATTGTCACTCCGTGTTCATGGCTAAATTGAAATGTTGATGTACCTCGCCATTGCATTATATTTATTTATAATTTAAAATAATTTAATTACATTTTCCATTTATTTATATTATATTATTATTCATATTGTTAATATCTTTACTTTTTTAATGACATTTAATAATTTAATTCTATTTTAATGTTTATCAAACACAAGGCATGCTGTGGTCGCCTATAAATGTAAGAACAGTTAGATCTAATCTGCCAGTGTATTGTATTGAAATGTTTCGCTGTATCTTATGTTGGTAATCCTATAAATAAATAAATAAATAAATAAAACAGTATATATGGCATTATTATTTATATGTCCGCTCAGCGGACGCGACACAGTTGAGAGGATAGTTAAAAATTGATATGTCGATAACTTACCAAACACGTCCTTTCCCCATCCGTTTGCGACGCAGCTCTTGTACTGGTCGAAGCTCTCGTCCTGTCCTGGCATGCATATGACGTTTATATGCTCCGCCAGCTCCAGCGGCGACTCCAACTTCAGCAGCGCCACGTTATACTTCAAATTCTTCCGTTGAAACTCTGGTGAGGAAGATCGTTTGTTTTTGGACAAACAAAAACCAACTTCAATCGTGGCAGAATCAGTTATTGTTAAAATTCGAACTGCTGAACCGTTTTCGATAAGGTTTTTATTTACTCTTTATTGCACTAAAACATATAGTAATAATAGCAATTAATAATAACGTAAGCAAAGGTGGAGTTATCTCTAAAAGAGATCTTATGGGACTAATCACAGAGTTTAAAAAAACAAAATTCCAAAGAGATTTACGATTGATCCGGTTGGGGGAGGGGATTATTAATAATGCGGACTACCAGTCCCTAACTGCCTTTTAACCACGAGGAGCTAACTGCCTTTTCGTTCTCACATATCATCCCTCACTGGTGACCCGCCAGCGTAAACCGTTAGCGCAGGCTGGATTACCATTCCTAAATCACCCATTGGGGGGTAAGGGATTGTTAGTAATGGGTAATAACAGCCCCATTGCTGGCAATATACCGTATCAGGTCGACCTCCACGCGATTTCCCTGGAAACCATTCTTGTCAAATGGTGGTGCCTCACCAGGGTATACCGATAGCGCAGGCGGGGTTACCAATCCATTTTCACCCATTAAAACAAAGCTATCATAGAAACATCTAGTAAATTAGAAATAAATTATTTTATGATAACTTATGGAAAGTGGTAACCGTCACCAATAAACATAGACTGCACCGGAAACATCACAGTATATACTGTGACGCCCATATTTGGTAAGTCATTTCTGAAATTGTCTAACCAGGATGCGAGGTTACGTCGACGACCGTCTTCTCAACAGACTTGAGCCGCTCCCCGGTGGTTTGAGTGTCCCACTCTCCTGCGCGGATCTTGAGATTTCCAGCGCCGTAACTGGGAAATATTTAAACAAATGCTTTATAAACATTAGTCGTAGAACTAGCCACTTCCTTGCCAGCTTGCAGGGAGGGTTGCCTGGAAGAGATCGCTTTTAGCGATAAGGTCGCCCATTGTTTTCTCATTGTGATCATTTCTTGTAACCGTTTGTATCTATAATAAGTTTACTATTGTAATCTTATGGAGGAAACAATAGTTTTTTTTTTTTTATACAACTTAGAATGGCAAACAAGCTGACGGCCCACCTGATGGAAAGTGATAACCGTCGCCTATAGACATGAGCAGTACCATGGACACAACAGAGTATACTGTTTCGCCCATGATACCCCCCATGCGTTGCCATTCCTGAGGACTTGGATGTTATTCCTCTGTACCCAGTAAATTCACACCATATCCCACCCTTCAAACCGAAACACAGCCATGCAAACACAACTGCTTCACGGTAGAAACACATCTATCTATCTAAGGGATGGTTGGCAACAGTGGTTAGGCCTTGGGGATGTTTAAAGACGGACGCTGCTGCCCATCCCTCTACCATGTTTCTTAGTCGCCTCTTACGACACCCATGGGAAAAGAAGCATTGACCTATTCTATACCGAGAACCTACGGTAAATTAATAATAATAATTAAAAAAATGAATGTATGTAAATGTATAATTCATTTGTATTGTATGACATTTGACATTGACTTGTTATGTATTTGTTTTTGTTTAGTTTGTATTTGTATTTGTTTAGTCTGCTACCATTAGTATGTGTGCGGCTGCCAATATTTATGGATTGACTCCTACCAGGCTATTAATATACGTATGCCACTAAATTATAATACTAAATTTGCATGCCTTTAGATAAGGCGAAATGTGTAGATCTATTATATTTAAGACCATTATTATAACCACATTTCTAGCAAATAAATAAATTTTTATTAAATAAATAAATAATTATATTTGTATATAATTTTCTTTAAAACTCACTTGTGAACGACATGAGCCCCCGTCATGACCACCTGAGGATGGATCAGCACCCCAACGCCGATGTACGACTCGTTCATCGAGTTTAACAGTGCCACGACCCATGGAAACTCGCCAAACTCAGCTTCGCCCCCCTGGTGGAAATAAGACACTTTTTTATGCAACTCAGAATGGCGAACAAGTTGACTGCCCACCTGATGGGAAGTGGTTACCATCATTGCCTGGTGGAAAGCAATTGTTAGTAATGTGTATCTAACAGCCCCATTGCTAGCAATATAGGGTATATTGCTAGCAATGGGGCTGTTAGATTCTCCTCGTGGTTTCCCTAGAAACTATCGTGGTTAATTCTTGAATTCCTCACCATCGGCCAGACTTCATCCTCACCTATCATCCCTCACTGAAGGGAAGAGATTTTTAGTAATGGAAACGCTAGTCCCCTTTGCCAACAATGTACCCTATCAGGTCGACTTCCACGCGGTTGCCCCTGGAAACCATCGTGACTAATTTATCGTTGAACTCGTCACGATGGGCTACCTATCACCCCTCACTGGTGCCCCCCCCCCCCCCAATGTATATCATTAGCACAGGCGAGGTTACCATACCATTATCATCCATTAAAAAAAAAACATTCCTTACTAAGGGGAAAGGTATTATTAGCAATGGGGACGTTAATTCCCATTTCTAGCAATATACCCTGTTAGGTCGACCTCCACGCGGTTCCTGGAAACCATCGTGATTCATTCTTGTTGGATTCGTCACTATGGGCCAACTGACCTAATTCATCCTCACCTATCATTCATCTCTGTTACCATTCCACTATCATCCATTAAAAAAACCGTGCGGAGATAGGGTATATTGCTAGCAATGGCAATGTAATACTCCATTACTGGGGGGAAAGGGATTGTTAGTAATGGAGACTGAGAATCCCGTTGCTAGCAATATACCCAACCAGGTCGACCTCCTCGCGGTTCTTCCTGGAAACTATCATGGTTAATTCCTGATGAATTCATCACGATGGGCTAACTGGCCTGTTTTCATTCTCATCTATCACCCTTCACTGGTGCTCCGCCAGCGTATCCCGTTAGCGCAGGCGGGGCTACCATATCATTTTCACCCATCAAAAAAGAAAAACACTCCATTACTAATAATTCCTTTCCTTCCGCATTACTTAGTTTAAAACTAGATGGAATTACGTCCAATTATATTTATTATATACTAACACTTCCTCCGGTGATAGTGAAGTCCAGCCCTTTAGGGTTTCTGTACCCGCAGCCTTTCAGGGGCCGCGCGGGTATCACCACGTCTTTCTCCTCCTTGGGGCTGGTGCAGCAGCGTTCGACGCTCTCCTGACATTCGTCCTCCCCAAATCTGGATCATCAGATAAACAACTATGAGGGTCGTATTTTTTTTGCTATTGAAGGGTCCAGCTATTGGTCACGATCCTACCTGATGGAAACTGATGTTGTGGTCTAAGATGGGGCTCGCAGATTTACGAATAGCTCACGTCACGTCGTGACAACAAATCTACACTAATATTATAAAGAGGAAAGATTTGTATTTTTGTCTGTATGTACATTTGTAATGAATAAACTCAAAAACTACTTTGCCGATTCCAAAAATTCTTTCACGATTAGAAAGCTACATTCACCCTGAGTAACATAGGCTATATTTATTGCTAGAAAACATTAGGGCTCCTTACTAAAACTTTAGTATCGTAACTCAAGGTGTAAAAAATGCTATGAAATATCTTTGATCGCGTGCGCTGCGGAAACTATTGGTGATAGAACAAAAGTATGTTCTACAATATTGAAGAAAATATCAATAACTGTAAAAAACTTAGCGACACTATATGTCCAACTATTATCGTTATGTCACAATAATCACTTTTTAAAATGTTGTAAAAAATGTCCACCCGTGCGAAGCCGGGACGGGCCGCTAGTTCGACTATAAATTAGTCACAATGGTTTTTTTTTAATGGATGGTAATATAATGGTAACCCCGCCTACGCTAACAGTATATAGTGGCGGGGCACCAGTGAGGGATGATGGGTGAGAATGAAAAGACAGGTCAGTTAGCCCATTTAGAAATCAGCATGATGGTTTCCAAAGCGGACCACGTGGAAGTCGACGTGACAGGGATATATTGCTGGCAATAGGACTGGTACCCGTATAACTGACAATCCTCCCCCCCCCCCTAGTTACAATGGTTGCCAGGGGCAACCGTGTGGAGGTCGACCTTATTTGGATATATTGTTAGCGATGGGGACTAACCTCCCCAATGATAACAATTCCATACCCCCAACGCGCAGACGGAGTTACCATTCCATTATATTAAGTGAAAAAATATTAAAGGTTGCCTGCGAGAGATCGCTCTTAGCGATAAGGTCGCCCATTGTTGTCTCACTGTGATCATTTCTTGTAATTGTTTATATTTATAATAAGTTTACTATTGTAATCTATTGGAGGAAACAATAAAGAGTATCTATCTATCTATCTAAAGAATAATGGGGTATATCAACCCCATTACGGGGAGGAAAGGGATTGTTAGTAATGAGGTATAATATCTTAATTGCTGGCAATACATCTTATCAGGTCGACCTTCACGCGGTACTCCCTGGGAACCTTCGTAACATTAATTCTTGTCAATTTTTTTTTCTTTTGATGAGTGAAAATAGTATGGTAACCCCGCCTGCGCTAACGGGATACGCTGGCGGAGCACCAGTGAAGGGTGATAGATGAGAATGAAAACAGGCCAGTTGGCCCATCATGATGAATTCATCAGGAATTAACCATGATAGTTTCCAGGGGGAACCGCGAGGATGTCGACCTGGTTGGGTATATTGCTAGCAATTGGATTCTCAGTCTCCATTACTAACAATCCCTTTCCCTCCACTTGTCAAATTAGTCATGACAAGTCAAGTGATGAGTTATCCTCACCACCTTTTACTGTTGCCTTACCAGTGTATACCAACAGCGCAGACGGGGTTACCATTCTATCGTTACCCATTAATAATTTAACAGAGGGAGACTTTGTACAAAAGTCGTTTGCTTGAGCACCTCTGTCCCATTCGTGTTTCTACCGTGAAGCAGTTGTGTTTCAGTTTGAAGGGTGGGATATGGCGTTAATTTACTGGGTACGGAGGAATAACACCTGAGTCCTCAGGAATGATAACGTATGGGAGGGTGTCATGGGCGAAACAGTACACTCTGTTATGTCCATGGTACTGCTCATGTCTATAGGCGACGGTTACCACTTTCAATCAGGTGGGCCGTCAGCTTGTTCGTCATTTTATTTATTTATTTATTTATTCATTAGTACAAATATGTGTACATGGCGGACTTAATGCTAAAAGCATTCTCTCCCAGTCAACCATAGGCAAGTGTCAGAATACTCGAATGCGGTATTACGCTCTACATTCTAAGGTGCATTAAAAAAATACCTAATATCCAAAACGCCAAAGCCTGTAACCGAAGCGTTGTTAACGTCCACTCCAATTAGGTCATCATTACACAGGTAATAAGGCACACATTTGCACGTGTCACCATTTTTGTCAACAAATTCGTTTTTGTCCGTGGGCCGAACTGTTATCTGAAAAAAGGAAAATTAAAAAGTTTTATTATTGTTGTTGTTTTAAAGTTCTTCCAAAGCGGAAAGTTAAGGAGCGTGGATCATACAGCTTAACTATATTATTTGTTTTTTGTTTTTTATTTTTATTTATAAATAATACTTATTTTTATATAAATAATTTATAAGTACCAAGCGCTTACAAACATCACACAATCTATACTTATAATAAATCTGTAGAGAGGTCAATTCTGTACATGAAATATATTTCCAAAATAACTATCAGCGGGTGATTAGTGATCGATACTGATGCCAAAAATGCAATCAGTAAAATTTATGTCTGTCGTGTATGTTCGTTATAGAAACAAAAACGACTCGACGGATTTTAACGAAACTTGGTATAGTTATTCTTCATACTCCTGGGCAGGTTATAGTATACTTTTCATCACGCTACGGTCAATAGGAGCAGTGCAATGAAGGGAAATGTTAAAAATGTCCACCCGTGCGACGCCGGGACGGGCCGCTAGTATTTAATATATTGAATTGGCATACAATATGAGGCACATTTCAACGATTCAAAATATATTTGAAAACTCGAAACCGAGACGATAAGTTTTTAAGTTTTTAAATCTGTTTTTTTAGACCAGACTAATAGCTTGTCACCAAAAACTTCTTTTTTTATTTATTTTTTTCTCTTTTACACACTAAGCGTTAAGACTTTTTTTTCTTTAATAGATGATGAAATGGTAACCCCGCCTGCACTATCGGTATACACTGACGGCGCACCAGTGAGGGATGATAAGTGAAAATGAAAGAGCAGGTCAGTTAGCCCATCGTGATAAATACACCTGGAATTCAGCACGATGATTTCCATGGGGGACCATGGAGGTCGACCTGACGGGGTGTATTGCTAGCAATGAGACTGGTAGTCCACATTACTAACACACTGTTAATTTTTTAAATGAAAAATTCTTTATTGTTTAAAATATTAATCCATTTGTCCCATAGAAATTTTATAAAACTCGGTCCGATAGGTTAGTTTTTAGATAAAAAAAGACTTCACTTTTTTTGTGAAACACAATCTCTAATTATTATGGGGGAAGGAATTGTAAGTAATGGGGAGTTTAGTCCCCATTGCGATCAATATACCCTATCAGGTCGACCTCCACGCGGTTCCGCCTGGAAACCTGGCTGACCAATTTATCATTGAATTCGTCACAATAGGCGTGACGTGACCTGCCTTTTCATCCTCACCTATCACCGCTCACTGGTGCCCCGCTAGTGTATACCGATAGCGCAGGCGGGGTTACCATGCCATTTTCACGCATAAAAAATGTCTAATTATTAAAAAAAATACGCGTTTTTTTTTATTAATATATTTTACGGCTCTGGATACAAGTCCTTTGGAGCCCAAACTAAGTGTTGCCAGTAATTCGATTGAAAAATCCAAATCAAAAAAAAAATATTTACATCTTCAAGTTTTGGCGACGTAGTAATAGTGGCCTGCGTCGCTGGTGGAGGTCCAAACACGTCGATGAGCACCGATGGCTCTATAGTCGGGTCCTGTGCCAGCACCGACGTGATCACCAGCAAGACAATGGGTAACATTCTACTGGAAAAAAAAAACACAAATGAATATGTTAAGTAAACTGTATAGGTTAAGGGGGTAAGGGATTGTTAGTAATGGAGTATAATAGACCCATTTCTAAGGTCGACCTCCACGCGGTTCCCCCCGGAAACTGTCGTGGTTAATTCTAGTGGAAATCGTCACGGTGGGCCAACTGACCTGCCTTTTCATCCTCACCTGTCATCTCTCACTGGTGCCCCGCCAGCGTGTCCCTATAGCGCAGGCGGGGTTACCATTCCATTATCACCCATTAAAAATAATTAATATGTACCTATATGATATAAACAAGATTTGACTAGTTTTTTTTTTTTTATCTGTTCTTTTTTTAAATAGAAAAGTCTTTAATATGGTAGGCCTTCCTCTTTCCCGCGCAGGCGGAGTTACCATTCCACTATCATCAATTAAAAAGTAGCTGCTTCTTTTAAAACTCGTTTTTGTTCTATTTACACGTGGCAATTGTTTACATTTCATTACGTCACAGTCAACGCGCGATTCGGTTTTTCCTCTTTGCCTGCTCAAATAACTGCAATTATTGTCTTACATCGAAGTCAACTAACAAGTTTATTATCGTTCAAGTAAAACCGAATAAGCCGTCTGTCCGGTTTACCAATACGTTGTACTTATATGGCTGTATGCAAATTGCATAATTTCGGTACAAAAAAAGGTCATTGTTCGATTTTTAATTAGTATTTAAACAAAAAAAAAAAAGATATTTTTTTTTTACTTGAACATGTCTCATTGTGACGTTTAACTACTTAGATTTTTTTTTTAATGGATGATAATGGAATGGTAACCCCGCCCGCGCTATCGGTATACACCGGCGGGGCACCAGTGAAGGATGATAGGTGAGGATGAAGTAGGTCAGTTGGCCCATCGTGACCTATTCAACAAGAATTGTTCACAATGGTTTCCAGGGGGAAGCACGTGTAGGTCGACCTAATAAGGTATATTGCTAGCAATGGGGCTGTTAAACTCCATTGCTAACAATCCTTTTCCCCCTTAACTTCTTAGATTATGAAGTATAGAGGCAATGTAAAAAAAGAATATATTATAACCTATATGTTAAAGCGAGATAGACAATAGGACAATAATTTGCACAATAAATACTCGAAGCTGATTTGGTGGAAATATAAACAAAATAATTTCTAACCTAACCGTCTATTTAACCGTCTAACCGTCGCCTATAGACATGAGCAGTGCCATGGACATAACAGAGTATACTGTTTCGCCCATGATACCCCCCATGCGTTGTCATTTCTAATGATATATATATATATATATATAATTAGGACTACGGTGTAAGGAAAACTTAGATCTTTGTATACAACAATTAAATCCAAGAAACATGTTTTAGAAATAATAGCTGTAAACTTGGTTCTTGCATAAATTACCTATATAATACGCTTCCGCTTCGTAACAAGGACAATTCAATTAAAGCATTTATTTATTTATTTTATTTATTTATTTAATACGGTTCACCTACAACTTCTACATTTTACATGCTACTTAATCAATAACACAATTTTTTTTTTAATCTTTTTTATTTAGAGGCTTTTACCCTATAAGGATATGTCAGCCTCATCATACCCTAATTTTATAAAATACCTCACATACTTAAAACATTGATACATAAATAAATAATACGTAATGTCTTAGTAGTGTATTTGATAAAGGGAATTATTGATACAAAAATATAGTAATTAAAGATTTTGCCATTCCGCAATGTGGCTCTGCGAGTATATTTGAAAACAAACCAATCTCCTGTCTGTTGTCAATCAATCTCTTGTCAGTTTGTATCAATACTTCCCTTTGTGTTTTGTATTTCGTACATTCGGATATCATATGGTGAACATCATACAAAAAAATATTTTTGCCTAATGCAAAAGTTTTTTACAGGCGAACACCACATGCACTATTATAATATTTAATAATTATTAACAATGACAATAACAATATCTGAATAATAAGTAGGTCAAGAACTTATGTTTAATATTTCCCTCAATAAGTTATCTAGGCTGTTGATGGATCCAAAATTGATGTCAATTTGAACGCTGTGAGCATTCAGAATCCTACATAATCCGGGTACAGGCGAGTTGGCTCCTAACACTGTTCTTCTTAACGGAGGACATAAAGGTGTTATCTGTTTCCGAGGTATTCTAGAGGGAATACGAAGGTGAAACAATTGAAGCATTTGTGGACAATCTATTTAAGTATATCTATTAGAAAGAATTTAAGATTCATGAATGTGGAGGAAGCGAAAGAGGTTTGTTTGTATCGAAGCATTTGGCGTTCCATTGTTTCTGCCTACCCTAATGGGAGACAGGCGTGACAGATATGTTTGTATATTATTATCATATATATTACTATTATTTCAGCCATTAACCGTCCACTGCTGGACATAGGCCTTTCCCATAAGGGGAATCTGCCAGTAGGTGCCACACTTCACTTGCGGTTTGGCAACCACAGTCTAAGGACTTACCATAAAATGTTTTTCGAAATTTCGGAACCAAACAAAACACAAATTTGATGTTAAAATAACACAATACATGCCGTTCGGAAATATTAGAAATGTTAAAATATCGTTCCTTTGTACTTTTATGATAGGATGTATGACGAGCGAAATGTTAAACTCCATTTATTGGTCCGATTTTGGTAAAAACAAAAACACGAAATTGAGTTCGAAAATTCGGTATTTCATTTCATGGTAGACCCGCAGGATTTAGAGATGTTTTAAGAGGGACGCTGCTGACCATCTCTCGCCCTCCCTTAGTCGCCTCTTACGACACCCACGGGAAAGGAAGGGGTGGCCCATTCTATTTCAATGCTACATCATAATAAAATAAAAATGGAAAAATTTGTCAAAAAAATAAAAAAAATTTTTTGGGTAGGGTCACCCTTATCTTTGAGGGGTATAAAAAATAGATGTTGGCCGATTCTCAGACCTACCCGATATGCACACAAAATTTCATGAAAATCAGTAAAGCCGTTTCGGAGGAGTTTGGTAACAAACGCCGTGACACGAGAATTTTATATACCATATAAGATTTCTGAGAAATGACAGATAAATGCGACGTTGCCACACTTAGGTAAGCAGAAGCTATGAGCGTTCTCATAATTCTCAGACAAACGGTTAATTCCCTTCTCCAGCGCCTACATATTACAATTATATTTTTTTTAAAGCGTACTTCTCAATAAAATATTTATTTATTTATTGACTACTTTATAAAAAAAATATGCGGTACAAAAGGCGGACTTAATACTGTAAAGCATTCTCTCGCAGACAACCTTTGGCAAAACAGAAATATGATTATGCAGTGAAAAAAATTGAAAATTGTCGTAGATAAACATGTTTCCTCCCACGAACACTCAGGTCATGGAATGAGCTCCCTGCCGAGGTTTTCCCAAGAGACTACAGCATGGGGTTCTTCAAAAGGGGGGTAAAGAGGTCTCTTCAGGGTCGGCAACGCGCGCGTAATACCTCTGGTATTGCAAGCTTTCATAGGCTACGGTAACCGCTTACCATCAGGTTGGTCGTATGCTTGTTTGCCACCTCAGTGGTATAAAAAAAAATTAGAGGCACATATCGATATTGAATTACAAGTCACAACACATACAATGGATTAATTGATATTAAGGATTAATCGATGCATAAAATAAAAACGTGACTGGCCGCTGTCTGTACATGTAGATATATAAGAAAAAGTATTATAAGGTGGCTTTATAAACGCAATAAAACACAAAACAATGTTTTTAGAATTTCTGTCTGTATGCTTAACCGATTTGAATGCGGTTTTCATTAACGCGTTGCGGTCTGCTCCACTTAACATTAAGCGTTTGTTTTATTACAATCGATTCGTAAATAAAAAAGTTATATCAATCTAAAGAGTCACATATAAAATGCTATAAAATAACCGATCAGTTGAATTGGCTGAAACTTTATGAAGGTAGGTTGTATATCATATTTTAACTTATAGGATATTTTTATATACCGATTCACGCAGGCAGCGCCGCGGCAAACAGCTAGTATTATAATAAAATTGTGTTCCAAAAAACATCCAACTTCAACCGTGGCTTAGGCACGATTTAGACAAAATATCCTATCTCATATGAAAAATACGACTAAGGTTCTTTTTATACAACTTAGAATGGCAAACAAGCTGACAGTCCACCTGATGGAAAGTGGTAACCGTCGCCTATAGACATGAGCAGTACCATGCACATAACAGAGTATACTGTTTCACCCATGATACCCCCCATGCGTTGCCATTCCCGAGGACTCAGGTGTTATTCCTCTGTACCCAGTAAATTCACGCCATATCCCACCCTTCAAACCGAAACACAGCCATGCAAACACAACTGCTTCACGGTAGAAACACGAATGGGACAGAGGTACCCAAGCAATCGACTTTTGCCAAAATTCTATTTAATTAAAATCAAAATACATAATACCACTGCAAAAGCATCTATATACCGATAACTAGTAAATTACTTTATTGTTTTACATTTATTTATATACACAAGATAAACAACAATGCAATAACACATTTATCGGGGAGAAAGGGATTGTTAGTAATGGAAACTGAGAATCCCATTGCTATCAATATACCCAACCAGGTCGACCTCCTCGCGGTTCCCCCTGGAAACTATCATGGTTAATTCCTGATGAATTCATCACGACGGGCTAACTGGCCTGTTTTCATTCTCATCTATCACCCTACACTGGTGCTCCGCCAGCGTATCCCGTTAGCGCTGGCGGGGTTACCACACCATTTTCACCCATCAAACAAAAAAGAACACATCTATCATGTACCTACCGTCTAAATTTAAACAAATTTATTTGTCAGTGCATTGTTATCATAGCAAAAACAGCATCTAGGTATCTATTTAGCGTGTATTAAAAAACTGTTATTAACTTCTGAGAAGCTAAGGTCATTAGCGAGATATACTTACATAATTTATTATAAAAAAAAAAAAAAAGTTTTATCACCAAACTTAAAATAGCCACTTAATCACGTATCATTAATTATTTATAATACTAAATGATCACATCACTATTTCTTGTTTTTATTGTCTATGACAATAAAAAAGATAAAGTTTTATTTTTTTATTCTATTATCTGTACTCGCGTGTATTCAACCGCGCATTTCAATGGTAACTGAACTGAACTGGGCAACTGGTCAGGTCAAGTAATGTAATAAAGTTGTCAAGATTCGATAACCTCCGCGCGGGACGGTCGATTCGACGTATACGTAATACATATATATATATATATATATATATATATATATATATATATATATATATATATATATATATATATATATATATATATATATATATATATATATATATATATATATATATATATATATATATATATATATATATATATATATATATATATATATATATATATATAAAACTAATGATTTCATACATTAACATTAATAACTATGCAATTATTGTTAATTCGAGCAACAATATATTAACTGACCTGTTTTCATTCTCATCTAATCACCTTTCGCAGATGCCCCGCCATAGCGATAGCGCAGGCGGGATTCCCGTTCCATTTTCAAATTTCAAAAACCAACTAGAAGCCCTTAAAAGAAAAAAAGAAAAAAAACCGATTAACAATTTGAACTACAAACAAAACACATAATTGGCGAAAAAGAGATACTTGGTAATTTGGTCTAATAGCTTCATTGGGGGGTATCATGGACGAAACAGTATATTCTGTTATGTCCGTGGTACTGCTCATGTCTATAGGCGACGGTTACCACTTTCCATCAGGTGGGCCGTCAGCTTGTTTGCCATTGCTAAGTTGTATAAAAAAAAACTTAGCAAGGGTGGGCTCATCTCTGGTATACGCTGGCGGGGCACCAGTGAGATATGATAGGTGGGAATGAAAAGGCAGGTCAGTTAGCCCATTGAAATGAATATATTTATTTATTTAATACTTTTTTGTACACGTCAGTTATAAGAATATGACAGAGGTAAACAAATGTACAGAGGCGAGCTTAACTCTGATAGAGTTCTCTTCCAGCAACAGCCAAAGTGGAAAGGAGCATCAGTGTCAGCGGGTACAGCGGTGTACAATATTGGGGCAATTTTTAAACGAACTAGACAAAATTAAATTAGTATATAATATAATATACTTGGAATGCAGCCTAATGGTTTCCAGTAGGGCCCATGTGGAGGTTGGCCTGACTAGGTATTGCTGGTAATTCGACTGATATTATGCATTTTTACCAATCCCTTTCCCTTAGGGAAGGTAGTGAAATTACAGGGTATGGAGGCATTTTGTTATGTGCATGGTGCTGTTCATGTCTACAGGTGACGGTTAGCTTTCCATCAGGCGGGCCGTCAGCTTGTATTTAAATTGTATAAAAAAAAAAGTTGACTTTAAGCAGACTGTTTCCGGATCAATTTGTTGATTCCAGATTTCTATATGGCCGTATGGTCTCGGCATAGAGTGGACCACCCCTTCTTTTCCCGTGGGTGTCGTAAGAGGCGACTAAGGGAACTTAATGATCGAGGGATGAACAGCAGCGTCCCTCCTAAGACATCAGTAAATCCTAACTGCGGTTGCCAACCCGCTCGCCAAACGTGGCGACTACTGCCAATACCTCCCTTCATGGAAAAGGGGTATGTTCAGCATTGGACAGTTAACAATAGATACGATGATATTTCCAGAGTTGCCGATGTCCAAACTGCAGCAGATGATGCGTGAGCGCGACCCCGCCTACATCAGGGAGACCAACATCCTGACTATAGTGGAGTTCTCGTACGTGTGCCCCTTCAAATGCCGTCACAACCACCTCCTGTGCTACTACTGCGGCCAGAACTTCCAGGATCCCCTCCTTCTGCGCGAGCACACAGAGAACGCGCACCATCCGAAGAAGTTCAAAGTGACAGAGACGAAGAACGTGATAAAGCTCGACTTGACAAGGATCGATTGTCGATTGTGCGGCGCGTCAATCGACAATCTGGAGGATTTCAAGAAGCACATCACTAGTGTGCACAGAAAGAAGTATTATTACAACCATAAAGATTCGATACTGCCGTTCCGTTTAACGAAACACGAAATGAAGTGTGCCCTATGTGACGTTCTGTTCCCTTATTTCCACGCGTTAAACAAACATATGAACGAACATTTCAGTAATTATGTATGTGAAACATGCGGTTTGGGCTTCGTGGACAAAGCCAGGTGAGTTGGGTTGTTTTATTTGCCTGTTGAGTATTTTGTTTTATACAACTTAGAATGGCAAACATGCTGACGGCCCATCTGATGTAAAGTGGTAACCGTCGCCTGTAGACATGAGCAGTAGCATGCACATAACAGAGTATACTGTTTCACCCATGATATCCCCCATGCGTTGCCATTCTTAAGGACTCAGGTGTTATTGCTCTGTACCCTGTAAATTCACTGACGTATTATTCACTTCAAAGCGAAACACAGCCATGCAAACACAACTGCTTCACGGTTGAAACACGAATGGGACAGAGGTACCCAAGCAATTGACTTTTGTACAAAGTCTCCCTCTGGTATAGAGTGGCCATCCCTTCTTGCATTGCCATTTCTGAGGACTCAAATGTTATTCCTCTGTACCCTATAAATTCACTGCCATATTCCACCCTTCAAACCAAAACACAGTGGTGGAGGGGGGATTGTTGACTTGTCGGTAATGATTGTTCTCCACGATGGAAAGAGGGACATTGGTACGACCCGTATAATGGGCATCCCCAGTGCTGTCATACGCATAACAATGAATGCTACCAAAGGTTAACATATCATTAATATGCAGCAGAAACAGCGTTGGGGACAGCACAGAGCCCTGCGGGACGCCAGCGTTAATATCCATGCTATCGGAGCAGCAACCATCTACAACGGTTTCTATGCATCTGTCAGACAAAAAACTGGCGACCCATTTACAGAGGCAGTCGGGAAGTCCATAGTAGGGCAATTTCGATAGAAGACCCCGATGCCAGACCCGGTCAGATGCCTTTGCAATATCAAGACTGACAGCGAGCGCCTCACCTTGACTCTCAATGGTGTGGTTTTTTTAATGGATGACAATGAAATAGTGACCCCTCCTGCGTTAACAGTATACGCTGGCGGGGCACCAGTGAGAGATGATAGGTGAGGATGAAAAGGCAGGTCAGTTAGCCCATCGTGATGAATACACTTGGAATTCTTTCAAAGCACTTTCTCCCATGCACAACCATACTTTGGAATCAACTTCCAGCAGCAGTATTTCCGAACCGATACGACATCGTAACCTACAAGACAAGAGCATATTCCTTTTTAAAAGGCCGGCAGCACACCTGCAATGCCGTAGGTGTTGCGAGTGATCATGGGCGGCGGTAGTCACTTACCATCTAGTGAGCCGCATGCTCGTCTGCCCCCTGTGTTGTAAAAAAAACTTCAGCACGATGATTTCCAAGGGGGTTGATAAGGCATATTTCTAGCAATGGGACTTTTTTTTTAATGGATGATAATGGTATGGTAACCCTGTCTGCGCTATTGGTATACACCGGCGGGGCACCAGTGAGGGATGACTGATGAAGATGAAAGTAGGTCAGTTAGCCCATCCTGACGAATTAAACAAGAATTAGTCACGATGGTTTCCAGGGGGAACCACGTGGAGGTCGACCTGACAGGATATATTGCTAGCAATAGCAATATACCCTATTGCTAGTAATAGGGCTATTTGACCCCATTACTAACAATCCCTTTGCCCCCGCAGTGGGACTGTTAGTCCGCATTACTAATAATTCCTTCCCCCCCCCCTCCCCCTATATTTCAGGTTCGTGATGCACCAGCAGCGTCACGACGTTGGCGATTTCCCGTGCGAGACCTGCGGGAAGATATTCAAAGCGCAGTACAACAGGGACCTACATATAGACAGGGTATGTACAGTGTCTCGCCGCCCTGGAAGTTGGAGGCCAATGCCTGTGCCAGTAATTAAAAGTAATTAAAACTAAAAGGAAAGGGATTGTTAGTAATGGAGACTGAGAATCCCATTGCTAGCAATATACCCAACCAGGTCGACCTGCTCGCGGTTCTCCCTGGAAACTATCATGATTAATTCCTGACGAATTCATCATGACGGGCTAACTGGCCTATTTTCATTTTCGTCTATCACCCTTCACTGGTGCTCCGCCAGCGTATCCCGTTAGCGCAGGCGGAGTTACCATACCATTTTCGCCCATCAACCCCCCCCCCCCCCCCCCCCCCCCAAGGGGGAGGCTTATGTTCAGCAGTGGACAGTTAAAGGCTGATTGCTTCTAATTGGCTTACAGTTGTCATATATATTTATATATCATATAATATTTAATAATTATTATAGTTTTAAGTTATATATATATATATATATATATATATATATATATATATATATATATATATATATATATATATATATATGTATTAATGGTTTTTTTTTTGATGGGCGAAAATGGTAACCCCGCCTGCGCTAACGGGATACGCTGACGGAGCACCAGTGAAGGGTGATAGATGAGAATGAAGACAGGTATATTCACCATTAGAAAGCTACATTCACCCTGAGTAACATAGGCTATATTTATTGCTAGAAAGGATTAGGGCTCCTTACTAAAACTTTAGTAGCATAACTCAAGGTGTAAAAAAATGCTTTAAAATATCTTTGGTCGCGTGCGCGGCGGAAACTATTGATGATAGAGCAAAAGTATGTTCTACAATATTGAAGAAAATATCAATAACTGCAAAAAACTTGGCGATACTATATGTCCAACTATTATCGTTATGTCAAAATAAGCACTTTTTAAAATGTTGTAAAAATGTCCACCCGTGCGAAGCCGGGACTGGCCGCTAGTATATAAATAAATAAATACCAACCTGTATATATTCATCCGAAGGTACACAACAAGAGGGGCAGGGTATATTGCCCCAAGTGCGACATGAAGCTGATGTCGTACCCGCAGAAGCTGAAGCACCTGGTGGAAGTGCATGGGGAGGAGCCTCTGAGTTTCCCGTGCAGCATGTGCGACAAAGTATGCGACACGCGTCGCACGCTGACCATACACCGGCGGAAGGACCACCTAAAGGATTACAGGTACCTACTTCTCTTCACGGGCTTCGAAAAGTAAGAGGATCTTGCTGCTGGTAGTATTGAGACGACGTGGTTTGCGGAAACGTATTTCCGAACCGATACGACATCATAACCTTCAAGAAAAGAGCATATTCGTTTTTAAAAGGCCAGCAGCACAGCTGCGGAGGCGCCAGTGAGGGATGATACCTGGTTGGGTATATTGCTAGCAATAGAGCCTTTACTTTCCTTTACTAACAATCCCTCCCCCCAATATACCCTATATATATATATATATATATATATATATATATATATATATATATATATATATATATATATATATATATGTTTGGTTTTACAGATACGAATGCCAGTGTTGTGGCCAGAAGTTCTTCACGCGATTCGCCTTAAATAATCACATGCCCACGCACACGGGCGAGAGGAATTACAAGTGTAAAGTGTGCGAGAAGTCGTACCCCAGGCTCAAGACCCTGAAGGACCATATGAGGATACACACAAACGATCGGAGATATAGGTATGATATTTATTTATTTATTTATTTAAGGACAACCAACAAAGCATACATTTATATCTTTTTTTTTTATACAACTTAGAATGGCAAACAAGCTGACGGCCCACCTGATGGAAAGTGGTAACCGTCGCCTATAGACATAAGCAGTACCATGGACATAACAGAGTATACTGTTTCGCCCATGATACACCCCATGCGTTGCCATTCCTGAGGACTCAGGTGTTATTCCTCTGTACCCAGTAAATTCACGCCATATCCCACCCTTCAAACCGAAACACAGCCATGCAAACGCAACTGCTTCACGGTTGAAACACGAATGGGACAGAGGTGCCCAAGCAATCGACTTTTGTACAAAGTCTCCCTCTGGTGAATCTATTTAAAATACATTATAATAAGTTTATAAAATGCTGCCTCAATTAAAGGCCGCCACGACATGCCTATTTACAATCTTTCATTAGCCACCCGTCATACTCGTGAACGGGTGCTCCTTTTAGGGACTGATAAGTGAATGGATTTTGTTTATTAAATATTAGTGATTGGGGGGAAGGGATTGTTAGTAATGCGGCCTATCAGTCCCATTGCTAGCAATATACCCTGTCAGGTCTACCTCCACGTGGTCCTCCATGGAAAGCGTCGTGCTGAATTCCAGGTGTATTCGTCACGATGGGCTAACTGACCTACCTTTTTATCCTCACCTGTCACCTCTCACTGGTATATATATACTTCTTTCTTTTCATTTAAGAGTTCCCTCTTGTCGGTGCAACTAATTCACGCATCTTCCTCCAGCCAGCTCTATCCCAGGCCATATCCTTGACCTCCCTATACGACATGTCACCTAGTGTTTCTTTTATCTGTCCCATGTAGTTACTCCTCGGTCTTCCTCTTCCTCTTTTGCCCTCTATTTTTCCTTCTACTATGCTCTTAAAAAATCATCATGTCGTATAAGGCGGCCCAGCATTTTGCCTCTTCTATTCTCTATTATTTTAATTGATCTTCTGTTCTCGTTCGCTCTTTTTAGGATTTCCTCATTCATTAGTTTTTCTGTCCAGCTTATCCTTTCCATATATACATATAAATATATATAAAATAGCCTCTTTATGTACAATAAAACTACCTTAGTTAGTTTTGGCCTTATCGCTAAATAAGCAATCTCTTCCAGGCAACCTTAGGATGGACAGGAATCAAACCATCGAGTATTTCTGAACATTCTAACTAAACGTTGACTGGTAGAGAACGCCTATAGCATTGGGGGGGAAAGAGATTGTTGGCAATGGAGTTTGACAGCCCCATTGCCAGCAATTTGCCTAATAGGTCTACCTCCACGTGGTTCCCCCTGGAAACCATCTTGAAAAATTCTTGTTGAATTCGTCACGATGGGCTAACTGGCCTGCTTCACCCTCACCTATCATCCTTCACTGATGCCTCGCCGGTGTATACCGATAGCGCGGGTGGGGTTACCATTCCATTATCATCCATTAAAAAAAAAAAGAACGCCTATAGCATTAAGTCAGACTTGTACCACATTTAATTGGTCAGTAAAGTTTAAATTTTGTTTTTTCAGATGTCACATTTGCGGCCAGGCGTTCATACAGAATTGTAGTTTGAAAGGCCATATGAAGAGTCAGCATCCAGAGTATGGATAAGATTAACGTATCTGTTTAGACATATAAAATCGTATTGTGGTATTTTTATTATAGAAATTTTAATATAAATTAATTATTTCTAGATCTCGATTTGAAATAATGTGGTTGATTACGGGGCGTCATTTTTCTAAAATATATATATATATATATATATATATATATATATATATATATATATATTATATCGTCATAGTCGTAGAATACTGACGGATCTTTATATGTAATCTTTGTCAGATCCGTCAGTATTCTACGACTATGACGATATATTTATTATATTTATATTATTATTTTATAATTTTATATTTAATAGTATAGTTGGTAACCCTAATCGGTATTCGCGAGCGGGGCACCAGTGAAGGACGATGGGTGAGGATGAAGAAAATCAGTTGGTGATTTTAATAGTAAATCTATCACGATGGTTTCCAGGAGGAACTGCGTGGAGGTCGATCTGATAGAGTAGGGTATATTATTCAACAACAAGCCCTTCTATCCAATATTAGGTTAAGTTAGAGGATTGGCGCCTCAGAATTGGCTCCAATGAAAGCTTTTTTTTTCTCTAACACATTACCAAAATAGAGTAAAACAATAAAAAAAAACTATACCTACTCTGCGTGTTAATACAGTAACGGTAACTTCGACTTGCGAACTACAAATTATTTGATCATGAAGAAAAAAAAAATTCATGACTTACGGATTCAGGAAAACATTTGAAAAGTTATGTATAATGATTATATTAGATTAACTTCGACTTTAAAAATCTCGCTCAACATAATTTTGTTTTTAGTAAAAAAAAACGTCTAAATTGTCAAGTGTCACACGCATCGTGTTAGGATTTTAATAAATACATTTTTCTCAAACATGCTTGGAAATGCGAGCATTATTTTGACAATCTTCTTCAAGATAAATCAATATTGCCGTACTGTCCAGATACGAGTACATGCGGGCAGCGGCCGGCAAAAGTTGTATGAAAATCCATATCTGTCGTGTTTGGCGGCCAGATACATCTGTCCTGTAATTTAAAAATGAAATAATCTTTTACTTCTAAACATGGCTACCAAGGAGGTAACTAATAAAAGGGTTTATTTAAATTTCGAACTGGCTTGCAAATAGAAAGCTGTTTATTGAAAAAAAAAAAAAAACAAAGGAATATTATGGCGCGTAAAAAAATATTATTATTCGTTATTCGTCATTGAACTTAAAAAGTAAAATTGTGTTTTTGATTTCCGCACATTGTTTGAGAAAAGTACTATACAAGCCTTGGCAACAACTAGGCATTGATGGACTCATGTATGTGTGCCTCGGCAACGCCTCGGCCCACATCTGCACGTTCGTCCATCAATGCCTCAGTTGCTGGCCAATGTACTATAATATATTAACTTTTCAACTGACTTCAAAAAGAAGAGAGTTCTCGTTTCGGTTGTATTTTTTTGTTTATGTTTGTGACCTCATAACTCCCTCAGTTGTGAACCGATTTGGAAAATTCTTTTTTTATCTGAAAGGATATACTTACAGATTGGATTCATAGACAGAATTTTATCAAAATCGACTTAGTACTTTAGGTTTAAAGTAAAATTAACTACAATTTATTTTATTTAATTTAATATTTTCAAATTTATTATATAAAACAATTTTAATTATAGACTTTTGCATTGCATGGTTTATGGTTTATAAGGGACGGGAATTATGGCCATTATTTAGGTATTTTCTTTTTACAATTTACCTGAGTTATGTCGACGTGTCGACTATGTCACATTGGTCATGGCCATGGTCACATTTAGCATATTTCCTTTGCTGCTCAGTATTAAAAAAAAAATCCATGCGTTGAAAATGGCTCACGACTTATATAATTATGAATTTATACAATAATTAAATACTCATCTAATGTATATAATGTTTTATATTATATAAATAAATTATTTATATTACACTAAATATAACTAATGTATAAGAATTATTAAATTACATTGAGACATTATCTAGTTTCATTTACAGTCACCCATAACCTGTTTCAATTAATGAAAAGGTAACCAAATTTATCAGAGGGAGACTTTGTACAAAAGTCGATTGCTTGGGTACCTCTGTCCCATTCGTGTTTCAACCGTGAAGCAGTTGTGTTTGCATGGCTGTGTTTCGGTTTGAAGGGTGGGATATGGCGTGAATTTACTGGGTACGGAGGAATAACACCTGATTGCTCAGGAATGGCAACGCATGGGGGGTATCATGGGCGAAACAGTATACTCTGTTATGTCCACGGTACTGCTCATGTCTATAGTCGACGGTTACCACTTCCCATCAGGTGGGCCGTCAGCTTGTTTGCCATTCTAAATTGTATAAAAATTAGTTTTTTTTTAATGGGTGAAAATGGAATGGTAACCCCGCCCGCGCTATCGGTATACACCGACGAGGCACCAGTGGAAGATGATAGGTGAGGATGAATGCAGGTTAGTTGGCCCACCATGATGAATTCGACAAGAATTAAACATGATGGTTTACAGGGGGAACCGCGTGGAGGTCAATCTGAGAGGGTAAATTGCCAGTAATGGGGCTATTAGACCCCATTACTAACAATCCCTTTCCCCCCCTACCAAATTTAGTTGGATTTATTTTTTTATTTACACTTTAATTCACCATTTGTAAAAATAATAAATACAGTGAATTTTAAAGAGAAGCGATAAAAAAGGCGGCCTTATTGATAGGCATTTTTTTTATGCAAGTTAAAATGGCAAACAAGCTGACGGCCCATCTGATGGAAAGTGGTAACCGTCGACTATAGACACGAGCAGTACCATGGACATAACAGAGACTGTTTCGCCCATAATACCCCCCATGCGTTGCCATTCCTGAGGACTCAAGTATTATTCCTCCGAACCCAGTAAATTCACGCCACATCCCACCCTTCAAACCGAAACACAGCCATGCAAACACAACTGCTTCACGGTAGAAGCAGTTGAGTAAGGTAGCTTGGCAACTATTGGCAAAACCCCCCAAGGGAGAGGCTTAAATCCAGCATTGGACGGTTGAAGGCTGATAAGGTGATGAAATGGCACAATAAATTGCAAATAAATAAATAAAACATTAAAATATACAATCATTTAATTGGATAATAATACATTTATACATTTTAAATACATGATTGGAAGTCGGTAGTTTTGGTCTTATGACTCTGACTACCCCAAAGGTCATTCAACTAAGGATGGGTAATATATAGTACATAATATCTATATATCGTACTTACAATATCTGTACATATATCCCACTTAAAATCAAATCAAATCTCACAAGTGATACCAAATTGAGTATTGTCCAACACTGCCTATTCATGATAAAAATATTGCCTCTTAAAAAATACAATCCTTTAAAGAGGAAATTTAAACAAAAATAAGATAGATAGATAGGTATTTTATTTTATTTTATTTATTTATTTAAGGAACACCAACAGCATATTGCATTATAACATATAGGTATAACAACATTAAATACAATACAATATTAATGCACATGCCTATTATAGGTATTCACAGCATTCACTTTAACATAGTTATACAGTGTAAGAAAATTAAGTAAATAACAAAAATAAACATGTAATCTAAGTTGTGAGCAATATCAGAAAATAAGATTATGAGTGAATTAAATTAAATAAAAAAAAAAAAATATTAAAAAGATTAGTAATATAGCAAATAAAATAGATAATTTTATTTGCATTACTTACAGCACACAAATTACAACATAGATACACAAAAAAAAAAGCGAGATAACATAAATGGCAAAAAAATATATAAAACCAAATGCAACTTTCGTTTGTGAGTGTGCCATAGTAATACAAAATGGCCACAACTCGGTTTATTGCTTCGCCCTCGAAAGAGCATAAATGCATGCTATACGTACACGCTAAAACAAGCTAGTGACTAATCGAGCAAAAAACTACTATGGCGAGTGAACGAACGCCTACCTCAATACCGCGATTAGTAAATACTCTACTTTTTTTTATTATTTAATTATCATACATAAATACATTAAAAAAATTGGATTTTTATTACCACTTAAACCTCTCGGGCTTGCGTGTGATACTTTACACTCGGTTCTCAAATGTCACTATTTACCAATATTCTGCTATTTTACCAAGGTTGGACAGTAAATAAGCTCTGAGTTTAAACTTTATGTTTTTAACCGTGATATTGTTTCGTAAGTCGGTAGGTAGGGAATTTATTAATCGCGGTATAAGGTAGGCGCTCGGTCGCTCGCCATAGTAACTTTTTGCTCGAGTAGTGACCAGCTTTACCGACTTGCGAAGCAATATCACTGTTAAAAACATAAAGTTTAAACTGAAAGCTTATTTACTGTCCAAGCTTGCTAAAACAGCGGAATATTAATGTAAATATATTGACATTTGTGAACGAAATGTAAAGTATCACACGCAAGCCCAAGAGGTTTAAGTGGCGCTAAAAATTCCAGTTTTTTTTTTAATGTATTTATGCATGGTAATTAAATAAATAAAAAAAAAATAACTGTCGATTGTCCATTATATAATATTGAAAAGAATCCGCTCGTAATGATTTTTTTATACAACTTAGAATGGCAAACAAGCTGACGGCCCACCTGATGGAAAGTGGTAACCGTCGCCTATAGACATGAGCAGTACCATGGACGTTACAGAGTATACCGTTTCGCCCATTATACCCCCCATGCGTTGCCATTCCTGAGGACTCAGGTGTTTTTCCTCTGTACCCAGTAAATTCACGCCATATCGCACCCTTCAAACCGAAACACAGCCATGCAAACACAACTGCTTCACGGTAGAAACACGAATGGGACAGAGGTACCCAAGCAATCGACTTTTGCCAAAATTCTATTTAATTAAAATCAAAATACATAATACCACTGCAAAAGCATCTATATACCGATAACTAGTAAATTACTTTATTGTTTTACATTTATTTATATACACAAGATAAACAACAATGCAATAACACATTTATCGGGGAGAAAGGGATTGTTAGTAATGGAAACTGAGAATCCCATTGCTATCAATATACCCAACCAGGTCGACCTCCTCGCGGTTCCCCCTGGAAACTATCATGGTTAATTCCTGATGAATTCATCACGACGGGCTAACTGGCC